AGCCTGGCCCTTATGGCACCATTGTCTCAGGCCCCCAGCCTCCGGAACCAAGGTTTCTGTGGATGCTTTTCAGCCTAACGCTTTACGGAGATCTCTTAGTTCAGCCTGGGGAAACTGAGGCAGTGCTGGCCTCCCACTCTCTGCCGGGGGACTCCTCCAAGGTGCAGCCATCTGTGGACTCAGACAATGCCCAGCATGCCTACCCAGCCACATGTTGTTTCACATTTATTCTTTCTTCTTATCCCTGAGGCGCGCCCCGTCCCCAGGACCCTTCAATTCCTTACATTCATCCCTTGCTGTAGCTTTCCTCTTCCCTCAGACCCCAAGCAGGACCTAGAGATGCCAATGGAGTACAGCACAAGGTGACAGATGCCAGCTCTAAGATGAGGTCGCAAAGGAGCTGTGTCTCCCACGACTCAGTCCTCTCCCACCCCTTCTCTGTCTTGCTTGACTTAGAGGGGCCGCAGAGCCATTGCTTCTCTACAGAGAGGCCCAGGGGGCAGGGAGCTGATGTCTCCAGGCCACTGCCAGAGGACAGCAAAGACCTGAGGCCTCAAAGGCCACAGCCTAGAGTTTGAGAAGAGACATTTTTCCAGCAGGCTTGCAATGCCAGGGGTCTGAGACAGTATCTGCACTCATTGCAGCCGTGAGAGCACTAAGTCACAGCCATGCAGCCATCCCTGCAGCCCTGCGGCATAGACTCTTGCTTCAGGGAACTAGTGATGCTACAGAGCTGTCCCGTGTCAACTCCTGCCTTGGAAACGGAAATGTGTCCCCACTGCCAGCCTCCAGTTACCTGAATATTCCAACAAAGAAACTTCCCCCTTCCTCCCCCTCCCTCCCCCTCCCTCCCCCTCCCTCCCCTCCCTTCCTCTCTCTCCCTTCCTCTCTCTCTCTCCCTCCCTCCTCCTTCCTCCCTCCCTCCTCCCTTCCTTCCTTCCTCTCTCTCTCTCTCTCTCTCTCTCTCTCTCTCTCCCTCCCTCCCCCTTTCCCTCCCTTCCTTTCTTTGTGTGTGTGCTCATGCCCATGTGCATGGTGGTCAGAGGTTGAGTTTATTACTGTCCATGTTATTAATTTTTAATTATTACTGTATCTAGACATGGTAGTACATAGCCCCCCCTTTTTTTGTTTTTGTTTTTGTTTTGTTTTTTGTATTTTTGAGACAGGGTCTCACTATGTAGCCCTAAAACTCACTCTGTAGACCAGACTTTCCTTGAACGCAAACATCCACCTGCCTCTGCTTCCTGAGTGCTGGGTTTAAAGGTGTGTGCCATGATGTCCCACTGATGATGGTGGTGCACACCTTTAGTCCAAGTATTTGGGAAGCAGAGGCGGGCAGATCTCTGTGGGTTCAAGTCCAACCTGTAGTGAGTTTCAGGCTACATATCAAGACCCCTTCTCTAAGAAAGAAACCAAACTGGGCATTCCTGGTACACTCCTTTAATCCCAGCACTCGGGAGGCAGAGGCAGATGAATCTCTGTGAGTTCAAGGCCAGCCTGGTCTACAGAGCTGGTTCCAAGATAAGACCCCAAAGCAATACAGAGAAACCCTGTCTCAAAAAGAAAAGAAAAGAAAAAGAAACCAAAACCGGAATAGAATAACTTTCGTGCACATGATTTGTGTTGTATGCCATGGGGCTTGAGTGGGGGTCAGAGGACATCTTTGTGAATACAGTTTTGTGCTTCTACCTTTGTGTGGGCTCCAGGGTCACATTCGGGTGGCCAGGCTTGTGTGGCAGGCACATTTGCCTGTTGAACATCTCTCTGGCTTCTGCTTTCTTTTTTGAGATAAGATCTCTCAATGATTCTGGCTTTTGTGTGGGTACTGTGAACCCAAATGCAAGTCCTTGTGCTTTCAAGGTGAGCACCTCACAGATAAGATATGTCTCCAGCCCTGGTCTTGCTATTTTGCAGACAGGGTCTCATATAGCCTGGGCTGGCCTTGAACTTGATATGCAGCTGACGATGGCCTTGAACTCCTGATCCTTCTGTTTTAGCCTCAAAGTGCTGGTACCACTGGTAAAACAGGATCCAGCAAAAGCATTGATTCCTTGTTAGAAACAGCCATCCCTAAAGCACAGGGGAGGCCAGAGGAGGACATTAAGTGTCCTGTTCTAAACTCTTTGCCATATTCCCATAAGACAGCAGTTCTCAACCTGTGGGTTGCCCTTTTGGGGGGTCGAATGACCCTTTCACATATCAACTATCCTGCATATCAGATATTTACATTAAAATTCATAATAGTAGCAAAATTACAGTTATGACATAGCAATAAAATACTTTTTTTTGTTTTTCTGTTTGTTTTGACACAGGGTTTCTCCATGAAGCCCTGGCTGTCATGAAATTCATTCTGTAGATTAGACTGTCCTTGAACTCAGAGATCTGCCTGCCTCTGCCTCCCAAGTACTGGGATTAAAGGAATATGCTATCACGACTGACTGCAATGAAAAAATTTATGATTGGGGGTCACCACACATGAGGTACTGTTTTAAAGGGTCACAGTATTAAGAAGGTTGGGAACACTGCCATAAGACAAGGCCTGTCACTGAACCTGAAGTTGGGATTTTTTTGTTTTTCTTGGCTAGGCTGGCAGCCATCAAGTTCCAGGCAGCCTCACATCTCCACCTCTCAGCACTGGGGTTATGGGTGCAGGCAGTTGTGCCCAGACCTGTGAATTGTGCTTAGTATTCTCCTCAGGTCCTTATGCTTGAACAACCAAGCATCTCCCCAGCCCCAGCTCCAGCCCCAGCATCAGCCCCTGCCCAGCCCCAGCCCCTGCCCCAGCCCCTGTCCCTGCCCATCCCCTGCCCATCCCCTGCCCATCCCCTGCCCAGCTCCTGCCCCTGCCCCTACCCCTGCCCCTGCCCACCCCCTGCCCCAGCCCCAGCCCCAGCTCTAGCCCCAGCCCCTGCCCAGCCCCTGCCCCTGCCCCAACACCTCTTTTCATCCTTCCTAGCACTAAGGCTGGCTGGCTTCTGGACACCTCAAAGTGCAGCAGGACCAACGATACGGAAAGAAACATCGCACTGACTTGCCTTCCATTTGGGGCTTTCTTAAGGACTGGGCCGAGTGGGTGATGGGCTCCTCCACTTGTCAGACACAAAGCACACACAGTGTGGATTATGGGGACACAGAGCTGTGGAGAGCATTCAGAGCGTCCTCTGTCCCTGCCCCTCAATGGAACCCTGGGAACACAGAAACACAGTGGATGGCACTCACGGCCTCTCCAGTGCCACTCTGGAAAATTGACTTTGACCAAAGAAGATGGGAGAACCTTGAAACTGCCCTCCTGGAGCACGACTGCTCAGAACTTCAGCTCTCTTAAGGCTACCTCTGGGCTCTAGAAGTGGCACAGGACAGAAAAGTGGCGGAGGGCCTCAGAGGCTACCTGCCACAGCCAATTCTCAAGCCTGTGCCTGATTTAAAGGCCATCTCCAGGAGATAGGCCACATGACACACACAGCAGAGAGCCTGAGTCTCCCCAGAAGGGATGCTTGCTGAGTCCTCTTTGCTAATAATAATTCGCAGCCACACAATTAAGCGGTGAGCACATCCCCGGGACTCAACTGGAGGCGACAGAGTTTGGGCCCAGAGCCCCTGCGTAGACTGGTCAACCCACGACTCCCAGCTTTCTCAAAGGGCTCTCTCTCTTTACTCTTATCTAAGAGAACATCACCACAGACACCTCTTGTGGCCTCCAGCCATTGTGGCCACGTGACAACTTCGCCAGGCAGCCACAACAGGGATGCAGCTGAGGATGGGGGTAGCCATCCTGAAAACAGCCGTCCAGTCTATGAATTCCAGGGTGGGCATGGGTCTGCTGCAGCCCATAAGTGATCAGAAAGGAGACAGTAGCAGAAAACACACATGCTTGTCAGACCACAAAGCATACACAGTGTTGAATGCGGTGATTTTGAAGTATGGAGAGCATTCAACGACAGACTGCCGTTCACACTCCCGAAGATGCCAGAGGAATCAAGGCCTTCACAGCTCGCGAAGGCCATTATGGAGAACTGTGTGCTTCCTTGGATCCCTTCACTTCCTCCCTCTATTTCCCTGGGAAGGTGGGACCATTATACACTTTCTACTCAGAGTCAGAGATTTTTTTTTTCAAAACAGCGAGGCCAAGAAAAAAGTGGTGGCATCCTTCAAGCCCGTCTGTCCCCTTGCACCTTGGCCCGAGTCTTGGGAGACAGAAAGAATGGGCTTCAGAGGAAATGCTCTATCGTCCCTTGGTGTTTACACTTCTAGCTGAATTCTTAGGGCCTGTATCATGCTGGCTTCCTGGCTGACTTCATACTCTAAAATAAAATAGCTCTTTCACCTGACTGCGAACACGGACATCTAGGGTGGGGGTGGGCTGTCTGGGGCCAGAGGTCCACCCACAAGGCTGATGAATCAGGTGTGAAGTTAGCGCCAGCATGTAAACTCCCTAGCCAGTCTAGTTGGGCTCCCAGATGCCTGACATTTCCTCCCCTCCCACCCTTATTTGGAGCCCCTGACAGCTGAGCTGCAAGCAGGGGGAGCTGGGTGCAGGCCAGCCGTCACCCTCTGCTTCCCTGCATGGGTCCCGTTGCCAGGGAGAAAGAATCCCGAGGCGCGCGCCCGGGAAGATAACCAAGGACTCTTTTCTGCTCTTCTCACACCTTTGAAGTGGGAGCCTCTTCAGGCAAATCAGCAAGAATGTGGCTCTTGCAGCCGAGGGTCTCAGGGAGGGGGGCTACTGGAGCTGCTCAAGGCGAAGGGGTTGTGACAAGTTCTGCCGAACTGATAACTTTAAAAGGGCATCTTCTGCTGGCTCCTCACTCCATTGCTTTATCGCTGCAAGTGACAGAATGGGGAGGGTTCCAGCCCTCCTGCGTTCTCATAGAGCTGGGGGGCTATAAAAACGGGAGGCACTGGGCAGCTGGGAGATAGTGACGGGCAAAGGCTGAGAGAGAGAAACCGAAGAGGAGTGAGCAGAGACAGCAAGCATCAGATCGCACCCGACCCACGCCAGCATGGGCTCCTTCTCCATCACCATGGGTGTCATCCTCCTCCTGGCCTTTTGGCTTCCAGGCCATATTGGAGCAAACCCTGTATACAGTGCAGTGTCCAACACAGATCTGATGGATTTCAAGGTAGGGCCAGGAAATGGGGCACAGGCTGGGTCTCTTTGGTACTGAGTGCATTCCTCTGAGACATCCCCCGTTCCTCTGCATTTATTTTTCTTTTGTAAAGAACCTGCTAGACCATCTGGAGGAGAAGATGCCGTTAGAAGACGAGGTCGTGCCCCCACAGGCCCTGAGTGACCAGAGCGATGAAGCACCAGGGGCAGCACTTAGCTCTGTCCCTGAGGTTCCTTCCTGGACTGGGGAGGTCAACCCACCTCAGAGAGACAGCAGCACCCTTGGGCGCAGCCCCTGGGACCCCTCCGATAGATCTGCCCTCTTGAAAAGCAAACTGAGGGCTCTGCTGGCTGCCCCTCGGAGCCTACGGAGGTCCAGCTGCTTCGGGGGTAGGATCGACAGGATTGGAGCCCAGAGCGGACTGGGATGCAATAGCTTCCGGGTAAGAGGAACTGTGGATGGAAATGGGATGGAGGTCGGGTAGGGGAGAAAACTATGGTCTTGGTAAGGCTCAAACCTTGCCGAGGAATACTACCAGGGAGCATCTTGGGCACCAGAGACCAGTGCGGGTGTTTACTCCTTCTGAGATTTCTGCCCCACTATGGTGGATGTTCCAGAGGTTTAAAGACAATGCCAACAGCTGCTACAGCCTCTGAGCCAGCAGCTGGGAAATTAGAATGCAAGGCAAAGTCATCTTTGCTTTGGCGATGGGCGGTTAGTGTTCTTCCCACAATTGTAAGAGCCTGGCATATTTAAATAAAATGGACTAAGACTGCCGGCCTTAACACTCATGGGTGACTTTTTTTTTTTTTTTTTTTTTTTTTGCCAGTTTATGACAGGGGACCATTGGGCTGGACTGTAGCTGCCAGGAAATAGCTGATCACTAGTCAAGCTGAGTGGTTAAGTACAGTAAAGTCAGATCATCAAACCAATATATCTTTCTCTTTGTAGTACCGAAGATAACAGCCAGGGAGGAAAAGTAGCCAGATTTGCTGGGGCAGATTGCAGAAGACCCTAAGCCCTGCGGTGTGTCACACAGCTTGGTCTCATTGTCACTGAGGTGTGGCGAACACCCTGCTGGAGCTGCTGCTTCTCGTCTTCATCTATCACGACCGATGCTAAATGTAGCTGAGTGGTTTCAGTGGGGCGTTCCCTTTCCCACCTTGCATATTAAGGTAGATCCTCACCCCTTTCGGAAAGCATTTGGGAAAAAAAAATTTTTTTGAATAAATTTCAGCACCAAGGACAGAAGCTGCTGTCTGGGTGATTCTTTCACTTCTGGCTCTCATTCCCTGGTGTCCCCACCTTACCCTTTCCTGCCATTTCTCCCTCCCCGACTCCTCTTCGTGAGTGTGTGTGGGCCCCAAGACACAGTGCTCTGGCGCTCACTCCAGCCTCCGTCGCAGATGGTGGGAAAGTCCACCCAGACTGAAAGGTAGTTTATTTCCAACTCATCTTTTCCTGACGACACTTGTGCTCAGCGGGCAGTTCCTTACACGCCTCCCATTTTCTGGTTACAGCCTGTGTGGTTTTAAGGAGTGGTTAGAGAACCAGGGGCTGCCCAGATCTTGTTACCTGAGCACCAGCTGCTGCAGTTTGGACAATAGTGGACGGTGGGTTACAGAGCTGGGAGCAGTGAAGGTCAGTTTCAGGCTGATGAGTGGCAAGTTCGAATGCTTTGTGAGCTACCACATGTCTTACCCGTGCACCCCTGCCTATTTCACCGGTAAATCTGTTATTTCACCAATGCATCTCTCCCTACCTGTCACCAATCTGTGCCAGACCTCAACCTCAGAGCTAAACGCATTTATAACAGCCATGGCCTCCCTAATCCAGGACTGTGGCACTTGAATTGTATACTGCATGGAGGTGACAGCCACCAGGAAACAGTAGTGTTTATTTATTTATGTGTTTACCTATCTATTTATTTATGGTCTCACTATGTAGCCTTGGCTGGCTTCGAACTCAGGGAGATATGCTTGCCTCTGCCTCGATGCACCAGGTTCCTTTTAAACAATGAGGAACGCTTATTCTCTTGCCCGTTTCCCTGAGCACACGTCACTGCCTCAGATTCTCACACACACACCCTCTTCACCCACACACTCACCGTGTTACACTCATTCCCGCTGACCTCCACCCCAGGGTGCCACCATCTGGTGCTCTCTGTATCCTACACATTCAAGGCTAATTGTGGACACTGCTTCAGGTGACTTCGCAGGTGGCACATTTTAACTCCAGCAGGACATGGTTTGCCGTGTGTGCGGCCATGTGCTTGTGTCCCAACCTGTACTGGACACGTTGTACAGAAAAAGGGAGAGGGAGAAACCAAGTAGTAGGTGTACACGTGTGGAGTGGGAAGGCCAGAAGCAAACAGTGAGGGGCTGTAGGTGGATGAAGAACTTTAATCACTCCCAGTCAGTCAAATGCTCCTACCTGGGCCTGGCATGGTGGCATACACCCTTAATTCCAACACTCAGGAGATAGTAGGCAGAGCTCTGAGCTTGAGGCCAGCCTGGTCTACAGATAGAATTCCAGGATAGCTAGGACTGTTACACAGAGAAACACTGTCTCAAAAAAACCAACCAAACAAGCAAACAAACAAAAACAACAATAAATCCTCTTGTCTGGATCTCAAATCAGTAGGTGCAAAAACAAAACAAAACAAACAAAACAACAACAACAATAAAAACCAAAACCAACCAACAAGAAAGCAACTTACAAGGGCCAAGGGCCAGTGTGAGACAGGAAGAAGCATTAAAGCCTGCACTTGGGAATCCCGGTCACTAACGGAAAAAGAATGGGCTGCTGAAGGAGTCAGGGTAACACAGGGTTGTCACTGAGTGGAAGGGACCAAGGTACAAAGTGCTGCTAGGACTTGGAGAAAGCTGAAGCAGGAGGGGCCTGATGGGCTGCTGTCTGGGACTGGCGTCATGGCAGCATGGGCATAGACACAGCGCATGGCATTTCTTGTAAAATAAGTGACAAATGAACAAAAAACACACATATGTAAGAATGCACACGCACGTGCGCACGCACACACACAAAGAGTGGCAAGGGCTTCCTGTGTTCCAGCTGCCATCAGGCCAGACTCCTGGCTGTGGGCTGCGTACTGAAGCAGGCAGTCAGAACACAGACTGTCCGCCCGTGCCCTGTGGCTGCTGGCAGAACAAAGGATGGATAGGTAAAAGGACTGGTGTTCACAGGCGGAAGTCAGACCACAGCAGTGGCAGGTGCTGTGTAAGAGCCACAGGACTAAGTCCACGCTTTCAAAGACAGTAGACAGACAGGGACAGACAGAGACAGGGACAGGGAGGGTGGGGCCAGCAGATCATCTTCTGGCTGGGCGTAATGGCCCATGCCTATAATCCCAGCACTTGCAAGGCAGAGAAGGACAGCTCAGGTCATCCCTCCTCACAGTGACTTTGAGGCTAGCCTGGGTTACACAAGGCCCTGTCTCACAGACTGCCTTTTTTAACTTTTCCCTACTGAAGGGGGAATGAAACGAAGATCTAGAAAGGAGCACTGCAGACAAGGTCTACGGAGAAGGTGCAGACATTTTATTCTGACTTCTTAGTTACCACAGAACTTTCACCTTCCAAAGGGTCAAATAAAAATAGACTTTTACAAATTAAAAAAGATACAATTTATCTACACAGTGGAATCAGCTAATGTTACCATAGAAACAAACAGTGCAAAGAAAGGCGGAAGCTGCAACTGGAGAATCACCCGGTTCCACAGGAGCAGAGGGGCAACACGGCTGGGCCAGGAGGGCTGTGCTGGCTTTTCCGGAAGCTTTCTTGTCACCAAGGTCCGCATCAAACTGTCACACGGCTGGCTGAGTCAAGCTAATGTCCGTTCCAGCTGGAACTGCTTAACAAGGTCACACGCAGACAGCTCATGAACATCAAACTCCCATAGCAGGGCCAGGGAGCCACACGGCCGCCCGCCCAAGTGCAGAAGCCAGGAAGAACGCCTCCAGCCAGCCTCAAGTGTGTCTCCCTGGAGCTGTGTTTGACAAGGTGCTGTGGCACTGGGGGGAGGGGGGCGCAAGAACTGTCGCAGGTGAGATACTGAGCCACTGGTTCCAAGGGACAGCCATGGGGGGCAGGAGCAAGGCTTGTAGTTCACAAGTGGAAAAGCTGTTGTCTTTGGGCTTTTCTGGATAGGCAGGTTGGAGGGGGAGGGGAGACAAAGGGACTGAGCATCCTAGATGGGCATGAGAGGCATGGGCTCAAGCTCCAGGGTAGAAGCATCTGCACCCTGTCTATTCCAGGCTGAACTGACGGTGACTCAACACACACACAGGATGGACAAATTGTAACGGGTCACCAGGGCTGGCTTGGAAGCTGTGGACTCTGGTCCTCTGCAGGCTGCTATTCTGCAAACCACCGGGCCGGGAAGATGATTCTGTGGTGTGTCATGCTTTTCTCTTGGTGTGGGCAACTGGTTTCCTTCTTGATGGAGGATACAGCAGGGCAGGCACTCCAGTCAGCTATATAATGAAGCTGGCAGCCCTGCTTAGCAAGACTGTTCTCCAAACTACTGATGGAAGTTTCAATCCCTAGCCCCACCTCACAAAACAGAACCTGAAAATCAGATTGTTCTGGTAAAAAGATGAGCAAATGGGGAAAACAGAGGGCCAGGGTCACAGTCAGCTACAAAGACCCAAGGTAACCCCTGACTGAGGATGTGGGACAATTTCCCACATGCAAATAAGAAGATCCTGCCAGGCCCAGGGCCCTGGTGCTAGAAGCCAGGACATGGTACAGAATCCCTCTAGCAACTTCCATAATTTAAAAAGTATCTTAATGTGCCAGGTAGCCAGGTGGTAGTGGCACATGTCTTTAATCCCAGCACTGGGGTGGGGTGAGGGTGGGCAGAGACAGTCAGATCTCTGAGTTCCAGCCTAGCCTGGTCTACAGAATGAGTTCCAGGACAGCCAGGGCTACAGAGAGAAATCTTATCTTGGGAAAAAAAAAAAAAAAAAAAAAAAAAAAAGAGAGAGAGAGAGAAATAAAAAAATAAACCAACCCCCCCTAAAAAAAAAAAAAAAGAAAAAAACCCAAAACAGTATCTAATGCAAATGAATGTCACTGCTATCCAAGGAACAGCCACCATAGGGCCCTAGGGTACAGGAAAGTGAGTGCTGATGGCCCCACCTAGATGTCCACTGAGTCCCATCTCAAAGAGGACCAGCATCCAGGCGGGGATGGAGCCATGAAAGACCAGGGAGGCACAAAGAGCGTCGTTCTCCTCCCCGGCCCTGAGGCCCTGAGGCCAGCAGCGGCAGAAGTTCCTCTCCAAGTCCTCAGTGAGAGGGCTGCGTGGGCTCTGGAAGCAGGTGTGAGCAGCCACCCCCAGAGGAACCACTAGCTTCCTCCTAAGGCCTAGCTTTCATTGGCCCTGGCTCAGGACAGCCTGTTTGCTAACTTGTACAGTGACTACAAATTTTCTAGGGCTTGGGGCAGTGGTTCTGTCTAGGGTTCCTCAGTTTTGGTGAACTTTGGGAATGAGTCTGTGGCTGTCCCACCAGGAAGACAGAGGTGAAGGCTTAGAAAGCATAGTCGTTGTGGAGAGGAATGATCAGAGGGTGGGTGGCCAGTGTGTGTGCCTGGGAGACCAGGACTAACGGGCCTGGGACTACTGAATGTTTACAGCGAGGGGAGAAGGTGCTGCCCCCGTGATGGGATTCGATGTGTCAAAGGCTGTTCGCTGGGGTGTTAGTGCTTCATGGGTCTGATCAGGAATGACTCTAAGGAGATTCAAGCCACAGGGCAGGAGCAGAGCATGTGCTTGCTCCTAGGAAACAGAATGAGAAGACAGGCCAATGAAGAGGCAGAGAGTGCCAGTGTATCTGAGGTCCTGGGTTCGATCCTAGGCCTTCCTGAACACGGGGAACAGTTCTCAGGACCCAATTCCTGAACTTAGTAATGAACGCGATATGCAAATAACATCCCCAATGTTTGTCTCTGCCCACGCCCTTCCCAGAAGGGTCCAGGCAACAGCCGGGCTCTCTGAGAAACAGCAACAGAGAAGCACCAGGTGCCTATCCAAGACCCAGCCTGACTTCACCGTGACGTGAAGCTAGGGGAGCCCGGGGAACGGGAAACGGAAAATTCTTGCTGAGGAAGTTAGTAAAACTCCAACTTTCTGCTCAACACATCCCCAAAACCTCTGACTTCAGTCTTCTAGGGCTCCAGGCAAGTGGGTGACTGGGAGCCTTCATGCCAGCTGTGGGGGCCAGTGTATGAGCAAGCCACCTGCAGAGGCATCTCAGGGAGAGTGGGCTGGCGGCAGCTGGGCTCAACTGTCAGAGGGTCTGGTAATGCTGCCGGAGCCGGGCCTGCAGGAACTCATACGTCAAGTTGTGTCGCGTGATGATCCCCACGATCTAGGGCAAGGAAGAAACACCCAAGTCACCAGAGTGTACAGCCTAACAGTAAGGACATGCGTGAAGAGAATGGAACGCTCCCTGTTGATGTACCCCAGGATGTAGAGGCAGAAAGAGAACGGGACCTGGTCGGGGTTAGCCCAGGGCAGGTGCTCAGGGCACACGCTTCCTACTCTCAGGAGGTGTGGGGACAGATGCAGCTGCACAAGAGGAACCAGCAGGCCCTGAAATGGGAGCAAAGGGGAGCAGGGAGAGAAGGGGACTCCGCTCCTTTGGAAGAGCCACCTGCTTTTCTTTTATTCTTTGGTCTGGGTGGAGTTTCATTCACAACACAGCCCAGGCTGGCCTTGAACTTGCCATCTTCCTGTGGGCTGTGCTGGGATTACAGGTGTATGACACAATGCCTGGCAGAACTAGCCTGTGTTTTATTTTGTGTACTTGTTTATAAACAAACCTAGGCACATGCTCTATCACTGAGCTGCACACCAAAGCATGTCATGTCCGGTCTTAGGGTTTCTCCTGCTGCGATAGAGTGCCATGGCCAAAAGCAAGTTGGGAAGGGAAAAGTTTATTCTAGCTACATTATAGCCCATCTCTGAGCAATGTCAGGACAGGAAGTCACACAGGGCAGGGACTCAGGGTCAGACACTGATGCAGAGAACATGGAGGGGTGCCCTTTACCAGCTTCCTCTTCATGACTTACTCAGCCGGCTCTGTTATAGCACCCAGGACCACCAGCCCAGAGACGGCTCTGTCTACGATGGGCTGGGCCCTTACCCATCAATCCCTAACTAAGAAAATGTACTACAGCTTTGTCTAAAGCCTGATACTAAGGAGGCATTTTCTCTATCCAGCGTCCCTGTTCCCAAATGACTCTAGCTTTCATCAAGTGGCTAGCGCACGTCCTTACACAGAGCACACGCCAAACCTGGTGGCCCACAGCTGTAACAGCACTTGGGAGGCTGAGTCAAGATGACTGCGTCAAGCTCAAGGCCAGTTTGGGCTATGTGAGTACCAGGCCAGCAAGGGAAGGCGGGAAGGCAGGTTGTCCCTTTAAATAGGCACCACTTCTCTACAGGGCCATTCTGGTGACAACAGATGAGGAGGGCAGGAAAAAGGGCCACACAGCCTTGGTGGCCGCCTGTCACACAGGTGGGTGGAGTTCTATGGCTCAATGGTGCAATACCTGCCCAGCATGCCTAAGACAAACAGCACGCGGCAGAGCTGAGCACCAACGTGAACAACCTGTGCACAGGAAAGGCCACAGCATGGCGGCCTCAGCAGGGCAGGGATCGGGGCTTATTTGCGTTTTCTGATTTCACTACGGCATAGTATGACAACATAACAATAGCTATGTAATTGAAAAGTTAGGTTGGGCTGACAAGATGGCTCAGAGAATAAATACGCTTACCATGCAAGCCTGGTGAGCACAGTTCCGTTTCCAGAACCCAACCGACTGAAGGAGATAAGCAACTCCACAAAGTTGTGCTCACACAAATGCAATTAACTAGGAAAAGAGATGATGGAAGAGCCTGCGAAAACAGCCACTGGGTATGCTGTCTGTTAAAACCCTCTGAGAATTTCACCTCAAATTCTATTAATGCATTAACAAATGCCTGTAAGAGGTGGGAGCCAAGGACCACAGACCAAGGTAAGTAAGGTAAGACTCCCTGGCGAAGACAAGAACTGGTCATGGAGGAATGGAAGGTGGACCATGGGGCGCCCCCTGCTGGACTGGTGCGGCATGCATGCATGCATGCATGCATGCAGCATGCAGGGAAGAGGGACACGTGGATGGGGAAGCGGCAGGGTGGGTGGACAGACCACGGGCAGCCACGGACAGTGCTCCATGCAAGTCACTCACCTCCCCCACGGCGTTCACCACAGGCAAGTGGCGCAGGCCCATGGTTCTGAACAGGTTGAAAACTTGGGAAACATGGGTGTTGGGGGAGACAGTGAACGGTGAAGGGTTCATGTATGGGGTGACATCCTGTAGAAGAGGAAGCAAGAATCATCCACAGCCTGGGAGAAGCGTGGACACAGCATGTGGGACAGCCCCAAGGGACAGCCCTCCTCACCACAATCATCCGGGGATTCAGCAGTGTGAGATCCAGGTCGTGTATGTCCGGATACCGTGGGTAGTCCTCAGCCATCTCAGCGTAAGAAAGGCGGGGCTGGCTGGCACTCTGCAATTCCGACCAAGAAAGTGGCCTTGCAACAAACAGCAGCCGCCAGCCAGGAGGGCCACTCTGACAGCCCCTCCCCACTTGTACCAGTTGGTATTCCTTCCAGTCAGAGTCCACCCGGGGGACAGACAGGGCAGGAGCCACAGTGGGTGCAAAGGAGGGAGACAGCCTGACACCAAACCAGGTCCTATCAGATGAGAAAGCTGCTAACGGGGTTGTGGGCTGAGTTGTGTCCCCCACAAAGACAGAGCCAGCTTGTGAATCCTGGTACCTACTGGGTATCTTTTCTGCAAACAGGGTTTCTGCAGATTTGCTTGCAATGAGCTCATACTGGACTAGGGCTAATTCCAGCATCAGGTAATCTTACAAAATGGGGAGTGGAAGCAGAGTGAGCACCACGTGTCGACAGAAGTCAAACTGAAGTGATATTTACAACCAGCGAGGCCTGGAGTTGTTGGAAACCACAGGGACGAGGAGGCCGGAAAGGCTTCTCTCCTAGCTCCTTCACAGAGCTCGCCCCAGATACTCTGAATCTTGTACTTATGGTCTTGAACCATGCAAGATCCTGCTTCAAGCTACCAGGCCAATGCAATCTGTGGCAGTGGCTACCGTATAGCCTCACAGAGTGTTGTCACTACCCCTCAGATCTCACTGCTGCCGTCACAGGACAGGGAGGTCAGGGCAAGGGCTCACAGGACAGCACAAAAGCCACAGTGCTGGCTGGCTACTGCTGTCCTGAAGGGGCCCGGCTCCCTAACTCCACTCTGCACCCTCCCCTGGCTCACAGCTGGCCACAGTGCTGGCTGGCTACTGCTGTCCTGAAGGGGCCCGGCTCCCTAACTCCACTCTGCACCCTCCCCTGGCTCACAGCTGGCCCCACTGCTGGCTGGCTAGAGCAGCCCCCAGCATTCACCAGCCAGGCCAGGCACTTCAGGACCCAAGCTTGTCCACACTCCAACCTCCTTGCCTGTAAGCTCCCCCAGCAGTGTCTCTACTCACTCCAACCAGGCTGGTGACCCACACTCCACCCAGGTCCCTGTGCCAGGGTAACTAACTGCTCTTCTGTGGGCTTTAGCAGACACAGAGGGGCTTAGGCGGCTACATGGTAGAAAACCCCACTCCCAACATCTGGAGAGTCACTCTGGAAACCAGGGATCTGGGTGATTTGCTCAGCCTCCTGCTGAAAAGGTGAGGGTGCGGTCTTGGGTGCCATGGGGACACCCTAAGAGCCAAATGAAAGAGAAAAACAGCAGAGCTGGCAGAAGGAGGGTGCTTCTCCCACTGACATGTGCAGCAAGGCCCACTCAGGCCAGAATTAAAACCCTGCCTGTGATCCCAGCACATGCCTGCTGCAGACAGGGATCACCCTCAGCTACCCTGTGAGGTAAAGAAGCTAGGGCTACATGAGATCCCGTCTCAACAACAAAGAAAACAAAAGGAAAGACCCCAGAGGGTATGACAAGCTCACAGGCCAGCAGGCAGGAGGCGCTGGACAACATGTGACAAAGGCTAAATAAACAAGGGACAACTGGAGTCAACTAGCTCTTCCCTCCCTCCTGCCCTGAGGCTCACAAACACAGCAAAAGGCCTGAGGCCAAGCACCCCACTCACCAGCAGCTGTGCGCCTATCACACACACAGAACCACCTCTCCCAGAACAACGGGGCCTGGCCCTGTTGCCTTCCTGCCTTCCATGACACCAGGGCCCAAGACTTACAGACTGACTTTCGGAATAACACACTCCTCGGACAAGCAGAGTGACGAGCTGCGAGCGTAGGACGAGGCCGTGGAAGGTCAGCGGGCGGAAGCGCTCCTCCATGGTCCAGTCTTCACTCGGGGACTGGTCAGGGTATAGGTTGGGGTAGGGAGTGTATCTGTTACACAAAAACCAGAGGCTGCCTCGGATACCCTCAGCAGGGTCCCTTCCACCACACCCGTGTCGCATCGCCGAGCCACGATCTCCAGCAAGCGCGAGGCTACACTCACACCCATGTGTGCAGGGCGCTCTGCGTGGAGGCCGTAGGCAGCCAGAGCGAGGCCCTCACCTCCTCTCCAGCATCTGCTGTAGCAGATCCTCCTTCTCTGCTGGCTCCTCTGAGGCCACGTGCTCATCGCACACATTCCGCAGCTCGCTGGAAGGGTAAGACTTCATGGACTGGCCCCGCTTGCGCTGTTCACCGGCGCGGGTGAGGATGCTGGATTTCTAGGGATGGGGTGTGGAGACAATGACAGTCGTTACAGGGGCCAACATGGCAGTGTTGGGCATACAAGCACAGGGGCAGCAACAGGACTGTGATGACGGAACAGCACTTTCCATGGAGGCCCGCAGGCCTCTCAGAGGCGCAGGCCAGTCAGTCCTGGGACTTGAGTACAACAAGCCTGAGGCCTCTAACCCCGCGCGTCACCCCCAGCTCTGCACAGCCCGATGGCTCCCTTGATCTTGATGGTCAGTTTGACCAGGGTTTGGTGGTGTCGGAGCAGCACCTGGGTGTCGGTTTTCACAGGACCAGAGCTGAGAGCTCTGACCTCACAGACAGATGAAGAGAAGCTGGAGTCTAGCTAGGGGAGTAGTTCACAGTTGCATGTGCATGCATGCCTGTCTGTGCTCTCGGGGGCCATATCTTGCTCTGGCCCCTCCCTGGATGCATCTGTCTGCTTTCTCTCCCCCATGCGGCTGCTATTCCCCTCTGTACACCTTTCTGGCCCTCACAGACAGACAGACAGCTCTGAAACACAGGGCCAAAGAAACCCTTCTTTAAGAAGTTTGTTCATTTATTGTTTTTTTTTTTTTTTTTTTTTCCCCAAGGCAGGGTTTCTCTGTGTAGCTCTGGGTGTTCTGGAACTCACTCTGTAGATCAGGCTGGCCTCAAACTCACAGAGATCTGCCTGCGCCTGCGTCCCCAGTGCTGAGATTAAAGGTGTGTGCCATCACTACCTGACTTTTCTAAGCAGTTTTATGCCACATATTTTGTCATGAAGATGCAGTTATCCACTGCATCCAACCTCATGGTTTTGCTGGGGAGGCACACCTCAATTCTGCAGAGGAAAAACAACTTTTCTCTTACACCCTGTCTTGGAGGGTCTGCCAATGTTTGTCTGCCTTTCCCAAAGACACCGAAGGCAACAGGTAGGCGCATAGTCTGCACAAGGTGATGGGCCTGGACTGAGTTGGGAGCTACCCAAGGACAGAGGCCAGCTAGTGCCCATTCCTCCTAATGGCATCATAAGACCAGTATCTGCATCCCTAGAGCTCCAGCCTGGTCTGCAGCCTCTAGTCACTTTCGTCCTCATCCTTTTAATCTGTGCTTTATTGAGACAGGGTTTCTCTATATAGCCTAGGCTGGCCTGGGGCTCAGTGACCCTCCTGCCTGGGCTCCCACTTTCCTAAGTAGGTCAGAGTCCATTTGTGTCAGCAACTCTCGAACTTTCCCTGATGCTTGCATATGGTAAATAATTAATACCAAATCTGCTGACTTTAAAAAGGGCCCACCCACCTGCTTGCTGCTGCCGCCCAAATGAGCATACACCCTCTGGGACACCCGCTATGTGACATGTGAGGGCACTGTGGACTTTCCCAAGAGAGAGAGTCTGAGTCCACGCCAGCTTCAGAGGAGGCACTGCACAAAGCGGGAGCGCTGGGCCAGGTGGCCTTCCCCATTGGCCTTCCTCTGTGGGCCATTTCCCCCCTCACCTTGAACTTAATGTTGTTGCTGATAAGCTGGTTGCCCTTCATGAAGTCCTTCTCGTTGCCTCGGTTCTCTGTGACCACTGGGAAGGCGTGGTGGACGGTGGTGCGTAGGATGCTCACCAGAGACTGGATGCGAGTGTGTGGGTAGACGTACGTTAAGTTGGGCTCCATGATGTCACTTGCTCTCAGCCTGCAGAGGGGAAAGCTGTAACAGCCTCCAAGGGGCCACTGCCGCTGGGGACAGGCTGCTGGGGCAATGCTGCTTCTCCACCTGCATCTGGGTCACTGAGGGTCCCTCTTCTGAACCATCCCCAGCAGTTCCTCAAACGTCCACCACCGTGCCTGCTAGCTACAACACCCCCCACTTTATCATGCCAGGGGCCACTGGTACTCTCATGAACCCCTCCAGCTCTCCCAAGGGTTGTCCAGCCACTCCTTGAAACACCAAATCACATGCTATGTATCACTACTAATCACTAATTATTTTGCAAGTTAAAGGACAATCCTGGAGTCCTTGTTTAGACCTGGATGACAAGCCAGAGCCCTGAACACTCATCCATGTCCGTTTTCCTACTGTAGTGACAGCACTGTGGGGCTGCCAGGCTCACAATGCCAAGAATATTTGCTGAGGAAAGGTTGCTGACCCTGCATTAGCTCAAAAGGGCTGTCTGATACTCAGGTAAGAGATGGAAACACCCCAGCCAAGACAGCGCAGTGCTCGGTTGGGTGTGTGGGTAGGCTGGTGTCACTGCCAGGCCTTTGTGTGTTCTTGGTGTGAACATCTAGCCAAGATAAAAGCTTGATCCAGTTCTCACAATTGACTTGGCCAGGGCACTAAGGAGACAAGTAAGCACAAAGTAGCCTTGCCTCTGGGCCTCACCATGCCTCCCAGTCTGCCCTCCAGACTCCTAACCAACTCAAGCTGCTCAACATCCCCAAACACGCAGGGGACACAAGTGAAGCTTCCTCTAATCTGAGCAATGTCAGCCACTGTTTCCTACCCTGACAGGCTCTGTGGGCCCCGAGCTTAGAGACCCTGGTACTGAGATGAGAGAAGAGGCCAGCATCTTACTTGTCCATTTCCACCTCTGTCTCCCACTCCAGAAGAGGCACTCCTCGCAAGCCCACATGGATGTCATAAATGCCCTTATTGAAAAAGTCTCCCGTCCACTTGGCCACCTGGAACACAGAGCAGGGACCTGAAGACAGCCCCTACAGTGAGCCTGCCCTCAGCCCAGCAGCAGCCCGGGGGAAGTGCTCACCATCAGGGTGATCATAATGGGAAGCCCATACGTGATCTCATTGGTAGACTCGATCAGGATGACCGTGAGACTGATGGTCATTCTCACAACCCCACCCAAGAAAGCTGCCGCACCAATTAAGGCAAAGGTCCCAGAATAGATGTGGCCCAGTCCAATATAGCTGGTGAGGGGAGAAAGAGAAGCAGGCTTAGCCTCACACTGGGGATGTGGGCTCACACACTTGTATACTTGGACACACATACACACATTACCACATTACCTCTTCAGGATGTTCGCAACTAAACGTCCAAAAGCTGCTCCACACAGCAGGGAAGGCACGAAGAGGCCACTGGGGACAGAAGTGCCGAAGGTCCAGCATGCCAGCAGGAAGTACAGGAGGAAGAATAAGGCCAAGGTGACGGGGCTGAAAGTCCCTGCAGGGTGACAGCAGACCTGAGTCACACTAGCAGAGGCCTGCACAGGCCCAGAAGATTGTGTTGGGTCCTTCCAGTCCTCTGCACCCAAGTCTGGTCACACTATCCAACACTGGACTGCCATTACAGAGGAAATAGATGGGGGAGAGCTGATACCCACCCTGTGTGTGGCACTGACACTCACCACCCTGGTGTATGTGTGTGTGTGACTGACACCACCCTGATGTGTGTGTGTGTGACTGACACTCTCCATCCTGATGCGTGTGCGTGCGTGTGTGTCTGACACCATCCTGATGCATGTGTGTGTGAGTGTGAGTATGTGTGTGAGTGTGTGACTGACACCATCCTGGTGTGTGTGCGTGTGTATGTCTGACACCATCCTGATGCTTGTGTGTGTGTGAGTGTGTGTCTGAGTATGTGTGTATGTGTCTGTGACTGACACCATCCTGGTGTGTGTGTGTGTGTGTGTGTGTGTGTGTGTGTGCACCGACACTCACCATCCTGATGGAAGAGCTGCAGGATGGCAGACTCCTGGGAGTTGAAGAAGAGTGTGGCCATGTCATTGTAGGTATCATTGGGACAGAAAAATGTCTTGATGGTTGAATTCACATCTTCTGATGTGGCCTAATGAGGGGTGGAATCAAAAAGTCAATACAAAGGCTCCTGACCAGGACATAAAAGTCTTCAGTGCTGTCTCCTAAGAAGTCAGATGTTGGTGGCTTGAGAGATGGCTCAGAGGTTAAGAGCACTGGCAACATGTTCTTCCAGAGGTCCTGAGTTCAATTCCCAGCAACTACAAGGTGGCTCACAACCATCTATAATAATATCTGGCAGCCTCTTATGGTGTACACGCAGGCAGAACACTGTATATATAAGAAATAAATCTTTTAAAAAAGTCAGACATCTGGGTAGACTTCCTTTACCTACGGGAGGAGCTGGGGTCGCCCATCTATGTACGGGCACCAGATGGCCCATACCGTGATGACTGCGATGCTGGGCCCCTGTATTTTGAATGTGGAATGAAATACTCAGGGTGAGGGTGAAGGCCCTGCCCATCCACACCTTTTTTTTTTTTTTCCCAAGACAGAGTTTCTACATGTAGTCCTGGTTGTCCTAGAGCTCACTGTGCAAGACTATGCTGGCCTTGAACTCCTAGAGATTCACCTTCTTCCGTTTCCTGAGTGCTGGTACTAAAGGCATGTGTCACTACTGAGCAGCAACACTTTTCTAAAAAGTATTTGTGTCTGTGTAGGTGTTCAACTGTTACAGCATTCATGGGGAGGTCACGTGACATTGAGCTGGGATCTCATATTCACTGCTGCACATGCCAGACTAGCTTGGCCTCCACTTCCTGTCCACACCCCCATCTTGCTGGAACAGCATTGGCATTATGGATACAAGTTGTCACGTCCAGCTTTCTATGGGTCGTGGGGATCTGAACTCGGGTTCCTGTACTTGAACTGCAAGTGCTTTACCCACTGAGCCATCTCCTTCGCCCTCATTCATACTTATCACTAAGCTAACTACATCAGAGATCACCACGGACTTGGTTTCCTCTTTAGGGCAGGTTCTGAAGTGATAGCTAAGACCACCAGAGTGGACCAAAACATGCAGGCAGAGTACACCCTGTACCCCCTAGAGACGGCAAGTGAAGTGCAGAACAGGACACATGCTGAGAAAAGCAGCCCGGCAGGAGCCAGACGGCGGGAGGGGAGGTGTTAGCATCACCCCATGAGCGACTCTCATATTAAGAAGGTGAGGTGGTGGGTGTCGTGGCCTGAAGAGGGACGAGTATAAATGGGGCCTGGACAGAACTGAACAGGTAGCTACTGAGCCTGCTTCCCACGAGTGTGGTTTCCTAGAGAAGAGCGACCAGAGCCGCAGACACTGTAGGAAGCAGAAGGCACTGCCACATCCGCTCAGGTGAAGGACCACAGCCCATTCAGCCACAAGCATGGAAAAGCATAGCTCTAAAGAGATGTGCATTTCTGGATTGAGGATAAAGACTACAAGTTTGCTGGGGTTACCTGGAGCTGGACCGAGCCATTACCGGTTTGACTCGCAGAGGACATCTGTCGGCATTCTCCTAACACCATGGAGGCCACAAACACCACCACAGTGGTCACCAGAGACACCAAGAGGCTCTCTAAGACCCTAGAAAGCAGAGCACAGCTGTCACAGTGCGATTTAATAATGTCTAGGCTTGAGCACACACAATCACCCTAACTACCCAAACGCCCCTCTCCCACAGGGCAAGCCCAGCAGCCCTGGTCAGGACACATGCATCCAGAATTCACTCCAGACTTGCTCCATCTCGCTAGCTGCAATAAAGGGCGAGCAGCTGATGAAGGGAGCTGTTGCACACACATTATTTCTCTCTAAAGAGCTAAATGGCTTTTCTTCTCTAAAGTCCAGGGCAAGGGCAACTCATGACAGACAGCTCTCAGCAGGGCCTCCTGACCTTTGGTTATATGTGTTAGCAGCAGGTCACAAGAGGGTGAGCCACGCAGTCACTGAGATATAAACCTGGCCCCAGTGTCTCTGGCCTCCAGGTGGCATATGAGCCTGCTTATATGTTTAGTGTCAGAGGAGAAATCCAAGTAGGTGTGGGAAGCAGGGTCTGCTCCCAGGCCCATCTTCCTTGGGAGAGATGGCCCGCCCACAAGGGGCTCACTGCAGGTACCTGACGAGCTTAGGTTTCGGGTGCACGTTGCGCATACGGTACTTTGCAAGCCTCTTGTTCAGACAGTTGAATGTGGCTCCCAGGAGGCCCCCAATGACCCCCATCACGACGAAGAAACCCAAATCCATAGCTGTCCAGAGGTGACATTTTTTATCAGAGTCAGAGCACTGAGAGAAGGGGGAAGGAAGGGAGAGAGAAAAACCAGAGTGGCCATGAGAACAGGAAGGGGGAGGAGCAGAGACATGGACAAGAGCGGATGCCTTGCTGTCCTGCTGAGGGTCCAGGCTGCCTGGGCCCACTGCTCATGGGGGTAGCGTTGGGCAGGGACGGCAGCCACCCCAGAGGCCACCTACACCTCTGGTGTTTACTCAAGAGCAAGTTTCATGGGTCAATAAAATGTCTTCGGAGGGAGAAGTCATACCTTAAATTCACCGAAGCTCAGCAATCCAGGCAGCTGGAAGGAGCCCCAACTTCCAAACTGAATCCCAGAGCGGAAGAAGTTGAGGGTGAAGGCGGCAGACATGGAACAGAAGAGCTGGAGGACAGGTGACAAAACACAAGGACACTGGTGACATCACCCTCTCGCTGACAGTCCTCTCACATTCATTCCTTCATTTACACACGCGTGTGCGTGTGACATATTCCTTCATTCACACATGTGTGTCACACATCCCTTCATTCACACACGTGTGTGTCACCTATTCCTTCATTTGCACACGCGTGTGTGTACATGTGTGCGTGTGTGTGTGTGTGTCAGTCAAAGGACAACCTGTGGGAGTCCGTCCTCCCCTTTCACCGTGTGCCAAAGGATCAACTCGGGTCTGGCACAGCAGCAAGAGCCTCTATCCACTGAGACATCTTGCCAGCCAGAAGCCAGTCCCTTTAAAACCCATCACTCCACTAGGTGTGGTGGCACAGATACTCAAAGGGCAGAGACTTCTGTGACTTTGAGGCTAGCCTGGTCTCAAAACCAAAACAAAACAATAACAAAAACAAACCATCGAAGAAATAAAAACCCCACGGCTCCAGAAGAGACCTTCAGAAGTGACAGGCTTCAGGGTTTGGGAGGCACTGCCCAGCCCTCCTCAGGGAAAGCAACTGATGGCAGGCTCTGAGCCAAAGTCACTCTACCCACTCCATGAGGGCCTGATGCTGAGAGCTCCTGACGGGACAGGTCCTACACCCAAGAGGAAGGAGGACAGGACACACAGGAGAAGAGAAGTCACGATCCTGTCATTCCTCCCTCCCCCCCAACAGAGACTTGCACATTTGCATGGCCGCGGGTTCACAGAGAGACTAGCAGTCATTTGGCATGGGGTGGTCACTTGGGGGTTGGGTGAACTTGTAGGAAAAGCACAAAAGCCCACTGTTTGGAGGCCACGGCTGCTATAACAGGGGCATTTCCATGCAGTCGGTCTGCCAGCTCCAACAAAGGGACAGTTGCATGCTTCAAGTGACATCCAGGCGCATTCTGGACTCATGCTTGGGATCCAAGAGGCGGCTTCCACGGACAGTCTCCTTACCACTTTCCATGTGAGCCCCTGGTTCCAGAAGGACGAGCCCTCCTCCAGGCTGAATAAGGTACCCCCTATAGGGGCCCCAAAAGCTGCAGCAACTCCAGCAGCTGCCCCCGCTGATACAAAGTCCCGCTTGTCTCTAAAGAGGAGGAGGGGAGAGGAGAGGGAGAGAGCATGCTTGTTTATCTAAGGCTTCAGAATACTTCTTTAGCCATGAACCTTCTTCCTCACAGCCCAAGTGTCAGGGTCACAAAAGAGCAGGGTCCTGGACACAATCATAGCTGCCCCTGAGCCATACACTCCCCACATGCTTGATTCGAATGTGAACTATTCTCCAGTGTGTTCAAGGCCATCATCATCCAAGGCACTACTAGAAGGTGGTAGATCTGAGAAACAGCTTCATCAGAGGAATTAGGTCCTTTGGAGTATACCAAGAAGGTATTAGGATGCACTCCAAGCCAAGATGAAGAACACTAAAACCTTCAAAACGACGAGGGAGAGTAAGCCTTTCTTTTTCCCAGGCACTCATCCTGGGTATCTGTGAGACAACACACTGCATCTCATTCCCTCAGGGCTAACAGGTCTTCACCTGAAACCAGGAGCTCACTGACCTGAATAGCTTCAGTCTAGGAACATACAACAGGGCCCCCAGTTCAGGGAACAGGATGGGGACATCCAATGATTGCTACTGAACCATGTTCCCACAAAAAACAGAGCCCTGGTAAGATTGGCGAGTGTGAGCAGAAAGCCAAGCCCGCAAGGGTGCAGGACAGTGACACACAAACCCACAGGGCTACGGAATATATCTGGCAGGACGCCTTTCCCTGGCCGGGTTTTCAGTTTGGGGCCATCATCTTTGTCTGAAATGGCTCTTAGACAAATGGAAAGGACAAGAGCTTGGGGCCCTTTTGTTTCTCTCTCTTAGGAGAAAAGCCAGGGGTCACAGTGAGTCAGGGGATTGTGGAGTGAGGGTGCGCTGTGCCTCCCAAAACTTACCTGTCGCTGCGGAAGTAGGGGAAGTTGAACTGGATCTTCCGTAAGGAGATGCTCTGAAACTGAAATGGGGAAACAAAGTCAGAGGCCACGAGGGCAGAGCACAGGAACCCATGGTCCCCAGGGAGGCTGAGTAGGTGTGCTACAAGAGGGATGCATCCAGAAGCAGGGAGGAAAGGTCCCCACAGGTGATTATTCTCAAGGGACCAAAAGTTCTCAAGCAAAAGCCCAGGTGTCTAAAGATCCCACTTCAACCAATCAACGAACCTGTCGTAGTCCCCCCCCCCCCCCCCCCCGGTTTTTCCAGACAGGGTTTCTCGGTACAGCTTTGGAGTCTGCCCTGGGATTCACTCTGTAGACCAGGCTGGCCTTGAACTCACGAGATCTGACTGCCTCTGCCTCCTTAATGCTGGGATTAAAGGTGTGTGCCACCACTGTCCAGCTGAAACCTAATTTTTAAAATGAGCTATTGAGTCCTGAGCTGGCCCGTCAGCCTCATCTATGCTTGGGGGTCTAGTCAGTTATGTGACTACAGGGAAGAAAAGAATTGGGACGCACAGTCTAGTGCACAGGTGACACATGCTTGACCCCGTGACTATTATTGCAACACATGATGTGGAATGAGCAAGGTCAGCCAACTCCTCCAGCCACATGACACTTGTAGCATGTGGTAGGCCAGCAGCCACCCTGTCTCAGCTCCCTGACTTGGCACACACAGCATTGCTATACTCTGAGGGACAGCTGGGTGTTTTGCTGGGACATACTGCACAGCTTTTTCACTTCAACTCCAAAAGGTCACATCAGGTTCTGAAATCGCATTAGGGACATCACAAAGGATTTTCCCAGATCTGCTGGACTTATACAGGAGGCCCATTGGAGGGATGCACACCCTGACCCACTGACCCTTACCTGAGGGAGGCCAGCTCCTACCACAGCACCACTGTGGATCATGGGGCCTTCTTTCCCCACAAAGAGCCCTGGGGATGGGGAGAAAGGAAGCACACAGTCAGCAGAGGGCCTCTGACCTCTCAACAACTACAAAGTGCAGGCAAGCGATAACTGACTATGGTAAAACTGAGCCAGGGCTGGAGAAAACAGTTCAGGCAGTGAAGCTCTTCCTGTACAACCTCAGCCCCAACAGAAAAACCCAGAAACAAGGAGTGCATCTGTCCCCCAGCACGGGGGCACTAGAGGCAGGACCCCTGGGGCTCCTTGGCCAGCAAGCCAAGCCTCACTGCAAAGTTTCAGGTCAGTGAGAGATCCTGTCTCAAAAAACAAGATGGGTAACTCCTCAAGAGTTGTAGTTTTGTTGTTTTTTACTCTGAGCTATACACACACACAGAGGCTAGGTCAAATTCCCTTCAAACAAGCTCCACTTGCTACAAGGGATAGTAGTTCTTATCTCCAAGTCCCAGTGCCAGGAAACCACAGCCTGTGGGTCAGGCCCACCCGACCTGTTTGTGCACAGCTGAGAACTAAGATCCACCCCCTTCTTATTTATTGACGGTGCTGGGAACCAAACCCAGAGCTTTGCACACACTGGGCAAGTGTTCCGCCATGGAGCTTCACTCCAGCCCTTCATCTGTTCATTTTTGGCTTCTGAAACAGCATCTTACTATGCAGCCATGGCTGGCCTCAAACTTGAAGCTAGTCTGTACCTTTGCCCCAGGAGTGCTGGGATTACAGTTATATGCCACTGTTAGGCACAGTTTAGTTTCACTGTTACATAGGGACTCATTACATTACCAAGACTGCTTTTTGTTTGTTTGCTTGTTTTGGGGTTGTTTTTGTTTTGGTTTGGTTTTTGGTTTTCCAAGACAGGGTTTCTCTAGGACAGCTTTGGCTGTCCTAGAACTCATTCTGTAGACCAGGCTGGTCTTGAACTCAGAAGTCTGCCTGTCTCTGCCTCCCTCGTGCTGGGATTAAAATCATGCAACAACCCTGCCCAGCAACCTGAAAATTCTTAAAGTGGGGAATTATTATTATTATTTTTGCTTTGTTTATAAGATTTTTATTATGTGCACAGCGTTCTGCCTGCATGTTTGCCTGCAGGCCAGAGGAGGACACCAGATCTCATTACAGATGGTTGCGAACTACCATTTGGTTGCTGGGAATTGAACTCAGAACCTCTGGAAGAGCAGCCAATGCTCTTAACCACTGAACCATCCCAGAGAATGAATTTAAAAAAAAAAAAAAAGGTTTTCACCATGTTAAGAATGGGGAACACTATCACAATGTAGGGAGTTAGGTCTCTGTATGGTTTCACAGTGGATGGTTTGAACAGGGGAAAATTAAATGAAGGGATAATCAACTTAGCTGTGATTAACATAACATTGATTATAATCATTATCAGTTTGGTAATTCATGTGTTAGCCTTCGAAAAGTGGCTTGATAACTGTGTCAAATATGAAAAACTAACTGCTAAGATACAATCCTTAGAAAGACCTGCTAATGAAATTAAGAAAAACATTCACACACAGAGTTAGAGCAGGACCTACCACACCATCGCACGATGAAACTGAAGAGGGGTGGCCCAAGGCCATTAGAAAACCAACCTCAATTTATTCAGTTACCACTCAAGAGTGACCACCAGGTGACATGCGTCCCCATCTGGATGGCAGTAATGCCAAAGCTGACCAACATCACCCCAAGATCAGCTCTGAACTACAAACTTCTCAGGACATTTCAAGGTGGCTAGCTGAGATGGTCAGATAAGCGCTGCACGTTCCCGTCATACTGAGACTGGAAATAGCGAGCTTTCCCAGGACTTGACCATTATCTCAATTTTTTTCAGGGTCCCCTTAAAGTGCTGTCACCCCTAAATAACAAAAAGTAATTTTAAGAACACAATGCTGACATTGGTTTTTGATCACTTGGTAGATTATGGATGTTATCATCACTTGGGGGGGGGGGTTAGTAGCAAATTATTACTAGTCATGGTAAGGGAGGAAACTAAACAAGGGAGGTTGATTTTCTTATGCTTCTCTGATCATTCAGGTTCTTACCTCAATATCTGGCTCCTGAGTTTTTACTGATAAAGAATAATTAGATATATGTTTCACTTGACCTCACTCTATACCGCAGGCTGTCCCTGAACTCACTCTGTACCCTGGACTGTCCCTGAACTCATTCTGTACCATCAGCAAGCTTTGAATTTATTTCCTGCCCCAACCTCTCAAGAAACAAGGATTACTTTACCTTTCTTTCTTTTTTTCCCTTTTTCTGAGACAGGTTCTTACAATGTATCACAAAGTGGCCTGGAACTATATAGCCCAGGCTACCTCCAATCCTGTAATCCTTCTATCTCAGAAGCTGGGATTCTGAAATGTGCATATTGTACATGATTCTACAAGTTCCTACACTATAGTCTTGATTTTCTCTCTTGGCCTGCAAAGGCTCAATCATTTGCCATCTGGCTATTTACATGAAACACGTGCTTACCCTGCCAGAGCCAACCCTACAAACCAAGACAGTTCCTCTTCAAAACTGAATGGTGCCTTCACTGAGTATCTAGGACTGAAAATATACTTACAGTGTCTGCATTTGAAAGCCCACAGACAAACCAGCCTGGGCTATATAATGAGACAGGGAGAGATTGAGGAGAGAGAAATCGAGGAAGGAGGGGAGGGAGAGAAAAGGAAGAGAAGTTAAGGCAGGGACCAAAGGAAACAAAATTGTGTGGGCATGAATTGTGTGGGCACTGTGTCTGAACCTGCGCTTCCCCAGCAGGCTCACATTTTGAAGCCCCCAGTGTGTAGTGCTGTTCTGAAGGCTGTGGAACCTCAGGATGTGGGGCCTGGCAGGCAGGTGGGTAACTTCGAGGTGGCCTTTCAAAGCTTATAGCCCAGCCTTGTTCCTACTTCCTGATGCCCACAACATACTCCCTCCATCATGGACTGTCCCTTGCCTTTCCAGCTAGGATGGACTGAAATCCTTCTGAAACTGTGAGCGAAAACAAACCCCTCCTCCCTTCAGTTGCTTCTGTCATGTACTGGGTAGCAGAGACAAGCAACTAATGCAAAGAGAAAGTACAAGTACCAGGTGTGAGCAGCCATAAGCCCACATCTAATCAACGCACAGGATGCCTTCAACACGTGATGGCAAGAGTAGAAAGCCTCCCCTCACCTCCAGCCACGCTGAACAGCACCCCAAAGACTTTGCAGAGCAGGGTCCGGAGCCGGACAATTCCCGGCACCTTCACACCATTCAGATAGCACTTGATCTCAGGGATTCCAGAACCTGCTGCCACTGGCTGTTGGGGAAGGAGACACACAAATGAATGAAAACCCACTCTGCAGCTTACACTCACCAAACCAGAAAACTAAGCAGAGACATCCACTGTCTTCCTTACCAGCATCTGCTCCCTGAGGACTTGTTCAGTTATAGACGCTGGATTCCAGCCTGACCCCTGACTCAGCATTCTAATGGGTTCCTGTACATGGAGTCTGACATGGGACCCTTCAATATCATTGAAGACCCGCCTTCCAAGATTCTGATCTACACATCGGTAAACCACTCTGCAGGGAATCCCAAGGTCATGAGGATGAAGAGCATCTTTCCCATCCATACATTCCTCACTAATCTCCCCAAACACCGCAGGCTTTACTTATAGAAAGATCTCCAGGTGAAATGTAGATAATTTCTGCAAAATCTTACAAGCCTCATGTACCTGTTTTCCAACATGTAGTTGAAGAACAGTAAGTACACAGATCTAGCTTGCCTGGTCTACAGAGTGAACTTAAAAAAAAAAAAAAAAAGACACAGTGTTCACAGTCAGTCAATTTCCAAACCACCTTACCTCTATCAAGACAAGAAGGCTTGCCAGGAAGACAAAGGTCAAGTTAAAACCCAGGAGTTCAAGGAGGGACAGGGCAAGGCAGCCTTTCTGACTGCATTCCTCCACCGCTACAGAGGCTGAGTCAAGGAAAAGGGCTCTCAGCCATGTGCCCATAATCACGTGAGATGGGGTGGCCACGACAACAGCTCAGTGCATGTCTCCCAGTGCTCCACGTGCAGTAACTTTTAAACGTTTTGTGTGTGTGTGTGTGTGTGTGTGTGTGTGTGTGTGTGAGCAAGTGTATGTGCACTTGTGTGCAGGTACCCAAAGAAGCCAGGTGATGTTGGATCCTTGGAGCTGGACTTATAGGTGGTGGTGAGCTTGTGAGATTATGGGTGCTGGGAATGAAACTCTGGACTTCTGGAAGAGCAGCAAGTGCTCCTAAATGCTGAGCCATCTCTCCAGCCCTGTACCAACCATGTTAGCTGGGTGTGGCAGTGCATATCTTTAGTCCAAACAAAGGCAGATGGGTCTCTGTGAGTCCAAAGTCAGGCTGGTCTACATAGGCACATTCCAGGTCAGACAGGGCTAAGTGAGACCTTGTCCCAAAATAAACTAACAAACAAACAAACAAACAAAAAAAAAAGTTAATTTTGGGAGCTGGTCAAACAGCTCTGTGGGTAAAGGTACTTGGTGCCAAGGCGAACAGCCTGTGTTTGATCCCTGAGACCCATACAGTGGAAGAAGATGACAACTTGTCCTTTGATATCCATATACAGTGGCATCTTTACATCCAGCCCCGTACACAAAATAAATTAGAAACTTTAAGATTATGGAATTCCCCACCCCAGACATTACAAAAGTGACCAACACCTCCCGAAGCCCAGCTTGAACAAACCAACATTACCTCCTATGTGACTTCGGCTATCACTAAAAATAAAGCTATCCCATTCAAAACTTCTTTTTCCTCCCTCCCACTCAAGGGACACCAATAGCCTGAAACAACTGGGCCCCACTTGCCGAGTACCTCGTGTCCCTACAACCCTCTACTGTACCATCACACAGAATCCCTCAGTGCGACACTGCCTGAGAATGAGCCATGTTGGTGCACACAGCTGTGGCTTGTTTAGTTTCACTTCTGCATACAATTACAGTGTATGAGTGAACCATAACTTCTCCATTCCCTCATTCGGTGATTCAAACGTCTGCCGCCATAAAGCTGTCACGAAAGCTGCCTTTAATGTATCTAAAGCCCACATCTGAGAAGGAATTTAAAAGCCCCAACAAAGGAATGTGAATGCTCCTGTTTCTTGCTAGAGCTTCCTGGCCATTCCATGTCTTCCTCTGGGAACTCCTTGGGTGGTTTGACTGTGTTCTGATATGATGGAGGCATTCTTCTGGATGTGTGGAATTGAGCTGTCAGTCTGTCCATCTCTCTCATGGTACTACGGATCACTAAGAAGGTTTTGTAGGTGCTACACGAGTGTTCTACTATGTTACAGCCCCAGTCCTCTGTTGTTTTTCATTTTGAGACATGGTCTACATAGCCCAGGCTGGCCTAGGACTCACTTCAGAGCCCAGGCTGGCCTGGGACTTGCACAGCTCCTGCCTCAGCCTCCCCAGTAGCTAAGATTACAGTGTGCACCAAGAGGCCTAGCTTTGTTTCTTAAATGCAGTGAAAGCCTATCTTGGGCTGAGAACTCAGACTTCCCTTTACTTACAGCATTTGCTTATTGTTGTTTGGGGGTTTCTTATTTGATTCATAAATGGAGTGTTTAATGATAAATGAAGTAGTAAATGTGGTCAAGTTTTAAGATCAAGGACTAAGATAATGTCTTTGCCTCCAACCTGTGCCTCTGAAGTTTTAAGAACTTATGCCTGTCAACATTCAGAGAGATGGTACAGAATCCCAGCATTTGGGAGGCTGAGGCAGGTCTATCACAAGTCCCAAGCCAGCCTCTGCCTTACAAAGAGTCTGAGGCTAGCCTGAGCTACAAGAGACCCTATTTCAAAAACACCACTAAACTACAAGATAACATGGCCGCAATCTATCCAGAATTTAACTCTATGAGTAGGAGGGATCTACAATTTCCCATGTGGACAGTGACTGCTAATGCCCAGCACCCTTTACTGAACAATGCAGGCCTTCCCCACTGACTGTTACACTGACTGCCAGTGACATTTCAACACGTGTAGACTGAGCTCTGCTTCTCTAGCTGGTGTTCCCGTACCGACAGCTTACATCTGCACATGGCAACATCTTGTTCTCTTGTCCTGACAACAGTAGGATCTGTCTGCCTCCTAGTTATTCAAACTATCTCGATGACCTTGGCCCTTTATTCTTTCGGACTGCTGTAAGAAGAGCAAGGCCGAGTTCTTTGAGGAATTCTAGGGAGTTCTGATCAGAACACTGAATGCATGCATGGCCTTGGGAGCAAAGACATCTCTGGGCATTTGTGTCTTACCTACCCAGTGTATTAACATCCCAATTAAAGCCTTCCTTTCTTAGCTGGGTACACTAGTGTACACCTTTAATTCTACCATCTGGGAGGCAGAGGCAATGGCAGAGGCAGAAGCAGGTGGATCTCTAAGTTTGAGGCAACCTGGTCTACATAGCGAGTTCTGGTACAACCAAGACTATATCATGGGACACTGTCTCAAAAAAATGATCTTGCTTTCCTGCCCTTTAGTGATGATTTAAAACCTCTTGGCAGAATGGCCTTTCAAATACCACATTCACTGTTACAGCAAGACTCAAGAATCCTGGGGCCTGAAACAATGGAGCCATAGAAAGGATACAGGTTTGAACCACTCCGAACTTGAGTTGGGTGAAGAGCCGAACAGAGAAGTCCACAAAGAGACCCACCTGCGAAGAGAAGAGGCGGTCACACATCTTTATCTCTCCCCTAAGAGCCTCACCCTCCCTCATTGCATCCCTCAGCGCACCAGTAACAATGGGGGTTGTGAACTCTGGTCTGGTCACAGATCTGCCCCAGCCTGGCCCCTCTGCCTTTCCAAAGAAAGAGGAGGTGAAGCAGAGTGAAAAACGATGGCACAGGACAAGACAGGAAGAGTCTTCCTTTGGTTGAGAGGGTAAGGTTGAGTGACCTGGGAAGCCATTTGGCAATTTCCACAGGAGGATTCAAAAGAATAGCCAGATGTCTTCGGTGGTGTCTAGCTGGACAAGCATATCGCTTAGAATGCTACTTTAGAGGACATTTCCTTGGGCGTGTGGGTGGTCTGGGATTCTCATTAGGGAATAAGAAAAGTCATTCTCTTGACTGAGGACCAGTATCAGTCGCTGGCTACCTGAGAACTATATGCCACTATTGTACTGCAGAGTCTAAGGGATGCCCAGGAACCTTCTAATATGGGAGAGTGGGATCAAAGCTTCTTGCTTAACTCTGGCCTCCCTCCAGCTAATGCCTAGAAGCCTTTTAAGTGAAGCCGAAAGTGGAGACAGATCAAAGGGCGAGAGAGGAGCTAGGGCTGCATCGGCTACATAAAAGAGGAGGCTGCCTTCTTAGCACCTAAGGGGATGAGGATACTGATGAGGCAGTTAGGAGGAAAAACTCCCTCTTACATGCAAATGATGCTTACTACAGGAAGAGCCACAACCAGAAACACACGGGACAGGTGCTTTTGTTCTTAGTCCCCGTCCCCGCCACACACACTGAAATTACATAAAACAACTAAACCAACACAATTTCATCCCCCTTGATGCCCTTAGAATATTAGCAAACAGGCTCCCAACTGTGTTACTGCCACTAGATGTTCCTTGGAAATTTAGAACAGTAAAAATCTCATGGGTACCATGTGAATGGAAACTGGGTGTCCCTTACGGCTGTGTGACATGAAACGTGTATATTACCTAGGTGTGTCATGGAGAGTTAAGCCCAAGACTTGTGGCCAAGTCCTAAGAAAGGTGGTAACAAGGCTAAGCCCCTCTGCCATTTTCCGGACAGATGTGGCATGTGTCTTCCTGCTGGGCGCTGACTCTTCCAGCTTCTCTTCTTTGGTGTTAGTGATGTTAAGTTTGTAGTTATGGCTCCAGACATAATTGCTACCATCACCTCTGGTGATACGAACAGCTTTCCCTGTCTGTGATCCATCTGTGAACCTGAGGAGCCCAGGTGCCCTGTTTATCCTGTCATGCCCCTTCACCTCCTATGCCAACTCAATGTGAGCAGGCCAGTGTGACCTCAACATCCTCCATCTGCTGTGCATTACCTGCCATCAGGAAGAAGGACTGACTGACTTAGCAGGCACGGGTCACGCTCTATACTCACATGACAGTCATGCTCTATAATCATACGACAGACATTAAGCACTGACCAAGGAAGCCCTGAGTGCTTGGATAGCCAGTGACTCATTTTTATAGTTCAAAGCAAAAGCAAAAGCAATGTGAAAAAGCAGGCCAGGAGAATTAACTTTCAAAAGAACAAGGGAAAAGGTAGCCTTAAACAGAGTGACAACTATCCCAATGCTACAAATGTTACAATGACAAATGACAAAGGCCATTCACCAGGCAAGGCTTCCCTCCAATCTGATCCCCCAACCCCAACCCACCATTTCCCCACATCCCACTGCTCACCAGCCCAGTGCAGATGCCAATGGCAAACACCACCAGCCATTTCACCGCCTCGTGTCTTCGCCCTTTCTGTTAACAAGGGAAAAGAAAAGCTGCATTTGTGACAGCGAAAGATGCATTTTGCTAACTGGCTCTGGACAAATCTACAGAAGACAGCAAGCATGGTGAGGGACAACCTCAGGTGCCTCACAAAGACACTGATGAACCTTATAGGGCTCAGCTGGGTAGGCTGACTGGGGTACACTGGATGGCAGGAGGAAGTCTAGGGATTTTGTATGTATGGGTGGGACAGGCATGTGCCACCACACGTGTGCGTGTGTGCGTGCGTGCGTGCGTGCGTGCGTGCGTGTGTGTGTGTGTGTGTGTGTGTGTTCTCTCCGTTCACCATCTGGGTCCTGGGGATCAAATGCAGGTTATCAGGCTGGGCAGCAGGAGCCTTTTCCTGCTGAGACATCTCAGCAGCAGGGTCTAGGGATTTAAACGCCACTCTTCCACAAAAAGGCTTAAAGAAAAAAGAAAAAGGACACTTATTGGGTCACATGAGGACAAAAAATAAGCTATTGAGACCTCTTCAGTCCTAAGAGATCAAGAGCTGTGGGCTCACCTTATTATCCATGGTCTCCAATACCTCCAGGTAAGGGTCATTGATGCAGCGGTCATAGTCCAGACTCTAAAAGGACACGACAGTGATAATGGCATCCACAGAAGAACTGGCAAAAACCTAACACAAGAAAAGCTCTAGTTCTCTCCTGCTCAGCAGGAGAGGGGGGCATCCACGTGTCAGGGAAGGCTTCGTGTAAACGCAGACTCTGACCCTGTGGCAGATGGCTTCCGAATCTCTTCATGAATGGATCTCTGAGTGAGCCACATATGCAGTGAGACCCAGCGCACAGCTTCTGGAGAGCACTCACGCTCAGGAGAAAGCTTGCCCTGGGAAGTAACGACAGTGGTAGGGTTGGGTACATAAGGCCCTCTGTCCCAGGCCAGCACTGGGAAAAAGGAAAAGACAGATTTTCTTGCCCAACTTCAATCCTTAAATGTGAACAAACTTTCAGTCAGCCAGAACCAAGTTAACCCAGATCAACTAATTCTACTTCTCTCTATAGGTGGCTTCCATGAAAAGGAGGTTAGGCACAAGGCAGACCCAGATGGGCTCTATTTTTAAAAGCAACCTCTTATTTAGTCAGAAGAGGCACAGATTCAGCCCAGCTCCTCTAATTCCTACACCTCAGGCAGCATCCCTTCAGCATGCTCCAGAGATCACAGACACCTACGGATAGTGCACACATGTGCCAGGGACAGTTTGAGCGACATCCAGAGGAAGGGACTTCATTTCTAGGTCTTGTGAGAGAAGCAGCAGTGTCTCAACAAAAGAAAAGTCCAGTCTCTGCTTTCCCTCCCTGTAACGATCTCCACTGCCACATCAGCTAATAAGCAAGCTGGACACTGGCCTGTGGCCTTACTTCTAGGCATAAGTTCCAAGCCAGCCAAATTAAGGTGTGATGTATAATAATTTAATCCATCCGTGACTGCTGGGAGCAGATGAGTGGGAAATCAGTTATCATACATCTTAGGACCGGTAGCCATCAAACCATTATAGTATGTCTTTATCACCAGATATGGAGAAATGATAAAAAAAAAAAAAAAAAAGCAAGATGTAAGGGCTAGAGAGATAGCTAAGCAGTTAAGAGCACTGCTGCTCTCGCAGAAGACCTGAGCTCAACTCCCAGCATCCATATCAGGTAGCTAATTGGCACTACTCTCATGAACACAAATCCATACGTACATACTCTCATGTACATATACACATACTTTCATGTACACAAATCCATACTTACACATATACATATAATTTTTATTTTTTATGTAAAAAATCTTTTGATTAACTTCATTTTGCCATATATATATATATATATATGTATATATATATATATATATACACACACACACATATATGCATGTGCGCACGTGTGTGTGTGTGTGTGTGTGTGTGTGTGTGTGTGCAAGCTCTCCCATGTATGTGACTGTAGATGTCCAAAGTGTTGGGTCCCCTGGAACCAGAGTTTCAGATGTTGTGAGCCATCAAGAGAGTACTCAAAGCAGAACTTATGTCTTCTGTAAGACAAACCACTGAGCCAGCTCTTCAGCTCCATATATATAATTAAAAAGAAAATGTTTTAAAGCAAGATGCAAGCCAGGTGTGGGGACACATGCCTTTAATCCTAGCACCTGAGAGAGAGGCAGGCCTCTGAGCTTACATTGTGAGTTCTAGTCTATTTGGGGCTACAAAATGAGATTCTCTCAAAAAACAAAACAGAAAAAGCAAGATGAAGAATAAAATGTATAATCAAAGGCCAGGTATGTAGCCTAGAGCTATGTAGACAAATTATCCAGCGCCACAAAAACAAAATGTATAACACAATCCCATTTTGATTTAACAAAATTAGACTTACTATATCAGAAAGTAGTGTTTTGGACAATCACATCTGGGTATAGAAATTCTCTTCTGGTGTGCATCTTTTATTTTTCTCTTAAGACAGGATCTTATGCAGCCCTGGATGGCCTCAGACTTACTATGTAGCCAAAGATGACCCTGAACTTCTGATCCTCCTGTCTCCCTGTGCCAAGGGCAGGGATCACAGGTGTGCAACATCATGCCTGGTTTAGGCAGTGCTGGGGATGGAGTCCAGGTCTTGATGCACGCTATACAATCATTCGACTTTGTAAACACTATGCCTATGATTAATTTTTATGTTTAATAAGATAATCAGTGGGACCTGGAGTGATGGCTCAGCTGTTAAGAGCACTTGCTGCTCTTCCAGAAGACTCAAGTTTGATTCTCAGCATTCACACGGTGGCTCTCAAATGCTAGTAACTCCAGTTCTAGGGGACCTGACACCCTCTTCTGGCCTTAGTAGGCATCTGCATTCATGTGTGCCTACCCACACGCAACCCACACACATTAATAAAATCTTTAAAAAAATAACCCTTTTCTGATTAACAAATAAGCACAACACAGGAAGAAAATCATCAAGGAAAGGGGATGAATTCACAAGAGACTAAACATATATACAGATTCATGCACACATGACCTCAACAACTCTTACAAAGGAAAACATTTAACTGGCATGGCTCACTTACAGTTCAGGAATTCAGTCCATTATCATCATCGAGGGACATGGTGGCAACAGGAAGTGGTCTGAGATACTGGGCATGGCTTGAGCATATACGAGACCTCAAAGCCTGCCTCCACAGTGACACATTTCTTCCAACAAGAACACACTCACTCCAACAAAGCCACGCCTCCCAATAGTGCCATTATTCATGAGCTTATGGGGGCTGATTGCATTCAAATTACCACACACACTCTTTAGGAAAGTCAATTAGGGTAACTACTCTCTTGGAACAAACAGGAAAATAAAGATGTTGTAATCTATCAGTCTCTTTTTGTGCTACAGTGAAATACATAAGAGGTCTTTCTCCTATCACTGAACCAACTCTTTCAGACCCTTGGATTCCTGGAGTATGAAGAATGCCTTCTATATGCTATTACAATGGCTGGGCTAAGAGCTGTGCCCCTAAAAAAGAACCAGGATGTAGCTGGCTACCACATAGTCTGAGACATGATTACAAAGTTCAACTTGCATCTACCTATGATACCACACTCAGAAGAGTTTAGGGCCAACCTGTACTGCACGGCAAGGCAAGACAATGTTTTGCTTAGTTTTCTATTTTTCTCCCTATCCTTCCTCCTTTTGTTGTACTGGGATCAAACCCAGGACTTTGCACATGCTAGAAAAGTGTTCAACCCCTGAGATACATTCCAGGCCCTGGGACACTGTGTCTCAAAGAGAAAACAAGAAGGCGGGGAGAGAAAGTTTTGTTTTCTAACCTCTGACCTCCAGGAGAAGAAGAGCTAAAGACTACGCTGCTCACCAATGGCCAAGGACGCCATCACAACCTATGTTAACATGAAGGTGCTGGAAGGGTGGCTTCCCAGGGGACAGCATGGAAGCTTCCAACATCTCACCTACACACCTTCTACCTGCCTGTACATCTATACCTTTTATTATACCCCTTATTAATAAACAAGTTGCCCAAAACCACTGTTTCCCTGAGATCTATGCATGTCTCTACAAAAATAATCAGACTTGGGCAGCAGAACAACCTATCCCTTTCTTTCTTTCTTTTTTTTCTTTTTCTTTTTTTTTTTTTTTTTTTTTTTTTTGAGATAGGATCTCACTATGTTGCTCTGGCTGTTCTGGAACTCACTCTGTACACCAAGCTGGTCTCAACTCACAGAGATCCACCTGCCTCTGCCTCCCAAGTTCTGAGAATCCTACCACTTTCAATAGACATCTGAAGAGAGTCAGTGATGTGGACCCCTCAACCTGTAGGCTCTGTTGCTGCCTCCCTGTGGCCAGCCACTGTCTGCTGGAGAACTCCTTAATGTGTGGGTAAATAAGCCTCATGTATCTGGAACCAAAAATGGAGCACAGAGTTGGGTGACAAGAGGAAGCGCTTCCGCTGAAGCCTCTGTCTACCTAAGGGCAGAGGCACCACAGGACAGTCAACAAAATATGGGAATCCCTCTCCAGACCCATCAACAGGGGAAGATGATGGAGCCTGAATCACAAGGCAGGACGAAGATCTAGCAGATAGCCCAAACTTTGTCCCAGACAAAGTCTGTTTGTTCTTTAAACTCTCTCATGTCTCCCCTAAAGCCCATGTAAAATCCAATGAAGTTGCCTTTATTTTAAATGTCACATTTAAAACAAATTAAAACCAAGTACTCTCTTCTGAAGGTACCTATCTATACCCATCTTGCCCCTCCCCTAAGGAGAAAGTGGCTATCTTATCTACCTCTCCTGCTGTGCCTAGCTCACAGTTTGTACCTGCCTTCTCCTTTTGATCTAGTCAGGGCTAGTTTATTTCCCTCCAAGGAGGAAAGGGAATGGGCTCCACAAACAAGTTTCAGTTGTCCAAAAGAAGCAAATCTACAGAGGCATAAAGATGAATGGCTGCTTTAAACTGGGTGTGGCGCTAATCCAAACAGATTGCTGGAATGGAGGGCATCTAAGGCTTCAGAGAGTGACTCTGTCTTTAAAAAAGCTGGCTATAGTAGTGGCACTTGCCTTTGATTCCCAGCACTCAGGAGGCAGAGGCAGGCAGATCTCCAAGTTTGAGACCAACATGGTCTACAGAGTGAGTTCCAGGACAGCCAGGGCTGGATACAGAGAAACCCTGTCTTGAAAGACAATACAAAACAACACAAAAGCTGTCTAGATGGCTCAGTGAGTAACACATGGAAAACTGAGTCCACAAAATTGTTGTCTGACCTCCATATGTGATCCTCAAAGCACAGCACCTCCTCTTAACAATAACATTAGCTCTTATTTTTTACATGTCTGAGTGTTTTGCCTGAATGTATGTATGTATACCACATGCATACCTATTTCCCACAGAAGCCAGAACGGAACATTAGATTCCCATGGAACTGGAGCTACAGACCGTTGTGAGCCACCATGTGGGTGCTGGCAATCAAACCCAGGATCCCTGAAAAAGTGCTCTTAACTACTGATGAGCCATCTCTCCAGCCCCCTCATAATAAATTTTAAAATTAAAAAAAAAAAAAAAGGTGTCATACTTCCCCATCCCCAAATAAATAAAAAGGCTGCTCAGAGTCAGGGGCAAGAGGAATGATCTTCAGTGATTATTAATGAGTGTGGGTTTCCTTCTGGGATGAAGATGCACTAAAACTGACTGGTGACAGTTGTATACTCCATAGACACACTAAGAACCATATGGCATGATCTACTTACTTACTTACTTACTTATTTATTGGTTTTTCAAGACAGGGTTTCTCTGTGTAACAGCCCTGGCTGTCCTGGAACTCACTCTGTAGAGCAGGCTGGCCTCAAATTCAGAGATCCACCTGCCTCTGCCTCTGCCTCTGGGATTAAAGGCATGTGCCAACACGCCCATCTGGAATGATCTACTTTTACTGGATGAACTTCATAATCTGTGCCTGAACACCGCAGTCGAGCTGCTGAAGGAGGTTAGAAACAACGGCAACACCAGGGAACCTCATCTGGTACACGTGTACCAGGGAATCTATGACCTTACCCACCAGAGCCTGTTCTCCTCCACTGGGACTCACCTTTTATTTCTGCTATAAACACTCTTCTTTGGTTTGGGAAATGAGCAACTTCCCCACCCCTCACCTCCACAGTTGAAACCTTTAACATTTTATTTTAATTATTTTCATTCATGTACATAATGTATTTTAATGACATTCATTTCCCCATTATCTTCTCTTATTCCCTAGTAAGTTTTTTCTTGCTGTTTGTGGTTATGAACAGAAAGCTTAAGGCCAGCCTGGGCTATATGAAACATTAAATATATACATTGTTGTATATATATATATTCAATATATTTATATATATTTAATAGAGAGTTATAGGTTTTTGTCTTTTTCTTTTCTGGGTTGATAGAAATGTGCCACTACATGCAACATTTCAACAGAAGAGTTTTCTAGTTAACTCTTAAGATGCAAGCTGAGCAGACTTTCCTATTTAAGGGTCAGATTGGATTTGTTCTTGCAAATCCACAAGCTCATATGTAGAGATGGCTAATTAGGAAATATGAAAGATTCACCTGAAAAAACATTTACCCACAAAACTCATTGCAAGCATGCTATCAACCTTGGGCAAGTACGCTATAAGTAGGAGTGAGAGAGTCTTGGTAAGGATAGGGTTAATGGAGCAGCCTTTGTGGGTTCCCAGACAGGGTCTTCCCCACTCAGCCTTCCAAGTCCAGCGCTGGACTAAAGGGGCACCACAACACTGTGGCCCCACACTCTTAAAAGTTCCATATCTGAGACTGGAAACTATCATCAATAGGTTAGAATGAGCCAGGAGGTCATGGTGCCCACTTTTAATCCCAGCACTCAGGAGGCAGAGACAGCCACATATCTGTGAGTTCCAGGCCAGCCTGGTCTTACACAGAGAAACCCTGTCTTGAAAAACTGGGGAAAAATAAAACAAAAAAACAAAAACAAAGGTCAGAATTGAGAAGTAAGGTCTCCTAACAGCTCAGGTGCAACAGAGTAAAGAGCTTTGACCCTGTGATAAAAGTTAAATGGCAAATACACTCTGTATCCAGGCAGAACTGTAATGCACTAACACCAGACCTTGTGTGGGGGATTAAATGAGAAAAGGACTTGCTAGGCAGCATTTCTCAGATCCGTTATCTCTTCCCCCTCACACCTTGGGGCAGAAGGTCAAAGAGCATCTCTGGTTGGAAGTCTGAAGTGGCCAGGCCTCTCACTCCTTCAGTTACCCAAGTCAGCATGCAAATACCTCACCTCATAGTCTTTCCTTGGAAGGATCTCATCCTCCTCTTCCTGTGTCTCCCCAAGGATGGTCTGGAAAAAGAGAGTCACAGGATGGAGTCCTTTTTGCTGGTCAAGGGTGGAAGGAGGGAAGTAACGCTAAAATCTAAGTCAGCTGGAGCTTTCACCAAAGAGGAACAAAATTTAAAAAACACATTTGGGATGGGTATTTGGTCACTAGCTGGGACCTACAATTCTATTGCTTGACACCCCCACCCCCACCCCGGTCATAACGCTCACCTTCAGGACACCTGAAAGATGTCAGATGGCAGCTTAGTGAGGAGAAAATTTGGGTTTCATCTGACAATAGACCAAATATGAAATCAGAGGGTACGCGTCAACTCTGAGAACACAACTCAAGTTTTCCCAGGCTGCTTTGCAGGGGGAAGCTGGATCATCAGCGTGACCCAGAAAGAGTGAAGAATAGGATGCGAAACGGCTGGAGAAACTACACCGGCTGCACGAGCGTCAAGTCTTGCGACAGGGCTCATTCTGAAAATTCATTCAAAACTCCTTTCGGATGGAAATAAAAGGAAGCACGCGCGGCATCAACCCAAGCTGGCCGAGATCCTCTCTCCTCGGTCTCCAGAAAGAGCTTACGAGAAAAGAACTCTGACTTGGGCACCCGAAGAAAGGCGGATGCTTTGCAGAGCCTAGGCGGCGGTCCCGGGCCCCACCCGCAGCCACCTGCCGGCGCAGTTCGGCTCGGCCCCACCCCCGGCAACGCCTCTTGTCATCCCTTAGCAACTGCCCCCTCCCCAGCCCCGCCGCCGCTCACCAGCTCCTCGGGGGTGCGGCTCTCACGTTCACCGCAGCAGCAGCACCACCTGCAGCAGCAGCACACAGACCCCCTGCATCCCGCCATCTTCCTCCTTTCCTGCCACTCCGGACCCCCTAAGCCAACCCCCCTCCCACCCGGGATCTGCGCCTCACGTGACTGGCCCCGGGAGGGTCACGTGGCCCTCTCGAGCTTTGGGACGCGAGGCAGGGAGTGGCTGCAGACGGGTGGGGCGAGAGCTCGCGTCACACGACGCAGTAGCGCGCCGGCTTCCCAAGAGATCGCCGGGCGCGGCCATGTTGGGGGCGGGACTTCCTGTCGCCGCCTTCTATGGCTTCCGGCTGCCACTTGTTCTGTTTCCCTTGGCAACCGGTGGCTGCGCCCCGCCTCCTCCGCATGTGCTAGGGTGATGGCGCCGCAACCGCCGAGGTTCTGACAGGACGGTGAGTGTGGCTCGGAGGCTTGGGGCGCCGTGGAGGAATTCACCCGAGTCGAGAATGTCTCATTTCGTCACCCACCGATGGCGAGGCCTCCTTGTGGGCGGGCAGCTGGGGGCTGGCCCGTCCTGCCTCTGCTCTTGAAGGCTCCGGCCGCTCCTCCAGCCTAAAGAACCCCTAGTGGCTGTCACCCCAGCCTCCTACCTGCACGAAGGCATCCCAAGCTTAAAAGAGGCCTGGGTCTGGGGCCGTGATCCAGCCTCCGGAGCCGTCCAGACCTGTGACCCACTGACCAGGTGACCCGATTCCCGTCCCTCAGGCCACCCAGCGCCAAGGTGGTTGTCAGCCATAGTGTCTGTCGAGCTCTGTTATCGATCGATCGATTGATCGATCTCGTTTGTTTTGTTTTGTTTTGTTTTTCGAGAATGGGTTTCTCTATGTAGCCCTGGATGTCCTGGAACTCACTCTCTCTATCTGTAGACCAGGCTGACCTCGAACTCAAGAGATTCGCTTGCCTTTGCCTCCTGAGCACTGGGATTAAATGTGTGCGCCCTGGTGCCAGGCTGCCAGTTTCTTAAAACCTGCCGCCCTGACAGGATCCAGAAGGAGTGGTGGACTACTGGCCTTCTTGCCCAGGAGCCCACGATGCCCTACTGTTCACATATGTCCATCGCAACAGTTTTGGGAGTGGTGGGCTCACTATTTGGCACAATCTAAGTGATCAGTAGGTGGCAGATAGGCATTTTGAGACCATTAGGTTTCAATGAGTACTGGCTGTTACTACTCTGCCGGGCACTGGGGATGCCAGGAACAGGATCCCTGGTCCTGGACCAACAGCTGAAGGGTAAACAAAACAGACTTGTTAGACCACAAGTGGTGAGTTGTGGGATCCCAGCTAATAATGGATAGTTGGTAGGTGCTGGTCGAAATTTGGCATGTATTAGAAATGCTCAAATCTTGGAGCTGTATGAGTCAGCTCAGCAGGAATTTTTTCCACCTTAAGAATGAGGCATCTCCCTTGGATATAGAAGAAAGAGGTCTTGACTGACGTGCAAGGTTAGCTTTTTTCTCACTCTCCATGAGAACCTTGCAGTTTTGGTTCAGAACAAAACTGGCATAAATAGATAGGGGATAGCGTTGGCACTGAGTAGGGGCAGAGTTTTTAGTCTGGAATGGGCTCCTTGACCTGTGTTCTGTGCCTTAGGAGAAGAAGGAGCCGTGGATTTCTTCCAGTGCTTGAGGCTAAGACCCAAAATAGTACATTGGCTTAGAGGTGGAAGTTTCTGTGAAGGAATGAACCTGGCTTGGCTTCCTCTGTTGCTCCGTGTCACCACACAGATGTCCACCATTGTGTGTTTGCCCATTCCTGTGCAGTAGTCGTGTTGGCTTTACTTTCTGGTGTTTGCTATTTCCGGACCAGACTCTCTGCACTGTTAGCAAGGCTGTGACTGCTGTGACAGGATCCCGCATGTGGTGGCACTGTGGTGACTGATTCCTTTGACTTCATTGGTGTGCTCAGGGAGAACTGGTGCCAGGGTTCAGCCCCTGTTCAGAGTTGAACATAAATCCCTACCCTTAGTGACTCCAGTCTGCCTGCCGTGTGTGTGTGTGTGTGTGTGTGTGTGTGTGTGTGTGTTGTTGTTGTTGTTGTTGTTGTCGTTGTTTTGGTTTGGTTTTTGGCTTCTTGAGACAAGGTTTCCCTGTGTAACAGCTCTGGCTGTCCTGGAACTAGCTCTGTAGCCCTGGCTGGCCTCAAACTCACATCACAAGATCCGCCTGCCTCTGCTTCCCAGGTACTGGGAGTAAAGGCATGTGCCACTATCACTGGCAAGTCAGCTTGCTTTTGCAACCCAGCCCCTGTCAAGTTCTAGCTCATAACACAACAGTTGTTTTGGAGTAGTGTGAACTTGGGAAATCAGGGTCCCTAGCCACGCTGCACAGAGAACCTATAACATGTTCCAGGCGAGGCCAGCAGCTGTGACCTGTTCCTTCTTTGGAGGGGGAAATCCAGTGACGCTGAATAGCTACTAGCCTAATCTCCACCAACCCCTGCAGTCCCTGCCTGCTCACACTCTCCCCTCCCCCACCCTTCATCCGGCTCCTTTGACTGGCGCCTGAGCCTTCTCTCCAGCCCAGAAACCTTACTCCCGCCCCATGGTGTGGCCCCAGCCTTAGCTCAGGGCTCTTTGTCACAGCTCCGCCCACTTTGGGCACACCCTCCAGGAAAGATTCCCTGTTTCTTCCCCACTCACTCTGGGTCTAAGCTGACCGAGATGAACCATCGAGAAGCCAAGGTCCCCCCAGCTGGCCGTTGTTACCCATCTCTAGGAATGTGGGCCTCAGAGGCTGGCTGTGTGAGGCTTTCTGTGCCACCCTCTATCAGGTAGCTGTCACCAAGGATCCAAGAGCGGCTCGGTGCCTAGGGGGAGGTCGTCAAACAAAGAGCCAGACGACAGCAGGGGGCAAAGCGCTTGAAGCCTCTGGGTAGGAGGTGTGTGAGCCTCCCTCTTGTCCGCTGCCTACTCAGATGGTGGGTGTGCATGGCGTTTGGTTGCCAGACCTCTGAATCCCCTGGCCCCCACCCTGTACAGCAGGAATCCAGCCATGGTGAACGAGGGCAGCGGCAGCGGCAGTGGCAGCGAGAGCTCCAAGGACAGTTCGAGATGTTCCACTCCCAGCCTGGACCCGGAGCGGCACGAGAGACTCCGGGAGAAGATGAGGCGCAGAATGGACTCTGGTGACAAGTGGTTCTCCCTGGAGTTCTTCCCTCCCCGGACTGCTGAGGGAGCTGTTAACCTCATCTCAAGGTGAGTAGGGAGGTTAAGCAAGGGGGTCGGCGGAGGGGAACATGAGCTGCCCTTTAACCCGGCAGGAAAAGGCATTGGAGAGAGGAGGCAGGAAGGGGCAGAGGCGACAGGGCGAGTTTGGTCTGCAACTTACAACTCCTTGTCTGCAAAAGTCCCTGTGAAGCAGCATCAGGGTGGGCCAAAAATGTTCATTCTGAGGTTGCATTCTTTGGCAGAACTTGGGGCTGGCTCACGAGCAACTTAGGAAGTCAACAAATAGCAACTTAGGGAATATGTTGAGCTAGCTGGACATTGTGAGTGTGCTTTTCCAAATCAGGAAACGCATGCTTTGTGGTCGCACTTTCTGAGTCCCAGTTCCTTTTCTTCAAGTCAGAGAGTGCTTTGCTAGACCCTGTGCTTTGTCCCTAGGATCACGAAAAAGATAGAAAGGAAAGTCAGGCATAGTGGTACTCAGAGGCAGGAGGATCACTCTGAGTTCAAAGCCAGCCTAGGCTACCTAGAGCCCAGGCCAGCCAGTTACATAATGACACCCTGTCTTAAAAGGGGGGTAGTGAAGCCAGGCAGCGGGGGTGCACACCTTTAATCCCAGTGCTCCAGAAGCAGAGGCAGGCAGATCTCTGTGAGTTCAAGGCTAGCCTGCTCTACAGAGGGAGTTCCAGGACAGGCTCCAAAATTACAAAGAGAAACTCTGTCTTGGAAAAGAAAAAAAAAAGGGGGGGGTGGGGTGGGGTTTGGGGGATGTAGCAAAGTTGGTAGATTATGTAGTTTGCAGGAAATCCTAAATTTGGTCCCTTGCACTACATAAACAGGGTGTGGGAACACGTCTTTAATCCCAGTGCTCAGGAGGGCAGAGGCAAGCAGGTCTTAGTTCAAGGCCAGCCTGGTCAAGATCTGAGCATGGTGGTGCACACCTTTATTCCCAGCACTTGAAAGGCAGAGGCAGACAGATCTCTACGGGTTTGAGGCCAGCCTGATGTACATAGTGCGTTTTAGGACTGCCAGGGCTGCATAGTCAGAGCACGTCTCAGAAACAACAAATAAAGAACACTCTCGCTACACAGGAGTTTGAAGTCAGCCCGGGCTACATGAGACCCTGTCTCAAAACCAACCACGAAAGTTGATACCTTTTAATCCATACTTGCTATGTGCTGCTCCCTAGGTTCAGGAATGTTAAGGGCCCAGGCTATTTAGACACAGCCTGATAGCTCTAGCACACAAAAGCTTTTGAATCTCAGTCAGGAACCCAGCCTTGCTCTGCAGGCTGATGCAAGGGGGCCACAGTGGCAGCAGAAGAGAAACCTGTGTCTGCTCATCTTTCTGCCTTTCTCAAAGCGAGGTCTTCTGCCTGCCACTGCTGAGATCCCAAACTCAGGCTGTCAAGATTCTGAACTCACCTAAAAGCAGCCAGTGTGCTTACAGTCTGAGAGGCAGAAAGTGCTGTTCACACAAAAATGGTGACATTGTTATCCCGCAGTGCAGTGGCAATGGTCGCTCACTCACTGAGCTCAGGCCCTTGTCTGGTGCCGCACAGCCATCTGACCCTGTCTCCTCTTGGATGTGGAGTAGGTACTGTCGTCTGCCACATCTTATAAACAAAGGCACCATGGATCAGACAGATCGTTAGGTAATGTGCCTGGGAAGTAAACAGTGCTCTGACATCAGCTTGCATTCTCCGATGCTCCGCCCCCCCTCCCCCCCCTGCCCCCAGGGAGAATGAGTGAGCCCGCTGCCCCCCCCCCCCCCCCCCCGTGGGGGCAAACTTAAGAAAGAAATCCTCCGCAGGTTTGACCGGATGGCAGCAGGGGGCCCCCTCTTCCTAGACGTTACCTGGCACCCAGCTGGAGACCCTGGCTCAGACAAGGAGACCTCCTCCATGATGATTGCCAGCACAGCAGTAAACTACTGTGGCTTGGAAACCATCCTGCACATGACCTGCTGCCAGCAGCGCCAGGAGGAGATTACAGGCCATCTGCACAAAGCCAAGCAGCTTGGCCTGAAGAACATAATGGCACTGAGGGGAGGTGTGGCGCCAGCACCCCTCCTTTCTGGGTTCTTGCTTTCCTGAAGGCTTCTCATGTCCCCAGAAAAGTCCTTTACTTTCCCTGAGCCCCACAACTATAAACTCATTTGGGGCCCGCTTGCTGCAGGAGGATCAGTGAGCATTGTGGGTAGCGAGTCCGCCATGGGCTTCACACAGGTGGAGTGGCCTCTTCCGCCTCTTGACCTGGATGCAGTCCGTGGGGATGTGGCTGGTGCCTGACAACCCTCTGCCCCCCGTCAGTCTCTGGCACTGTCTGGTCTAATCATAGTGTGCTGTGCTGGCATTTCCCAGGAGCCCTGGGTGCTTCCTGTCTTCAGGCCACTCAACAGTGGGAAGTGGGAGCCTGGTGGGTGGGTGGGAGGGATCTGTGGCCTCTGGCCGCCACGGGACTCCTCAGGAGTAGAAAGCCCACCCAGAATTCAGGAGCTCTGAGAGAGCAGACAGTTGGGAGAAGGTGCCTGCGCACACCCAGGACATCAGGGCCAGGCCAGGGTCGCCAAAACTCTAGGCTCAGTGGAGAGTCACGCCTTCCCTGGTCCCAGCACCAACAGGGGCACCTGTAGAGTCAGCCTTAGCAGACCTTTGACAACTCCACCTCCTGTTTGCCAGGCGTCAGGCTAGACTTGCATGGTAGGAAGCCTCTGCCTTGGAGGAGCCTACAGCCAAGCATAGGGGCAGGTGGAGGGATCAAGAAGACTCTGTGGAGGTCAGGGGACACCCAGTGACCATGACCTCCAGCCACCCTGCAGACCCTGTAGGTGACCACTGGGAAACAGAGGAAGGAGGCTTCGACTACGCCGCAGACCTGGTGAAGCACATCCGCAGCGAGTTTGGCGACTACTTTGACATCTGTGTGGCAGGTGAGTGGGGACAGGGAAGGGACAGGGTAAGAGGAAAGGCAGCCAGTGTTCCGTGGAGGACGTGGTGATTGGGTAGATACAGAGGTGAGCTGAATGGCGCTGCTCTTGAACTCCTTCCTCACCCTGCCACCCGCTGCCCCGGCCTGGTACACTACTTCCATTGCCAATGCTTCCCTCCTCTGCCCTCCATGCCCCACCTTCTCGTGCGTGTGCGTGTGTGCGCATGTGTGTGCATGTGCATGTTGAAGGACAGGGGCAGGGGATTCATCAGGCCCTGAAAGGAGTCAGGAACCGAGGCCCTTCTTCACTCCCTCTGTACCAGAGTCCGGGGCTGACTTTTCGCTGTGCGTCTGTAGTGGGAGAGGCCCTCATAGACACACTGCTCTATGCATGAGTCCTGCTTCTGTGTGTGCATAGTGTCAGTATCAGCCCCCAACCGTGACAGTTCTCAGTGTTAGCTCTCAGTTCCTAGGACATGAGACTCACACGGGCTCAGCTCTGACCCTTACACTAAGGGATGGGGAGGCAGGTAGAGGAGGAGGACGTGTGTTCAAGGCCAGCCTGAACTTGTCTTAGAAACCCAGAGCTTCAGAGCTTGCCTTGTGTGTGTAAGGTTCCAGGTTCCATCCCAGCACCAAGAAAATAAATAGATGAATAAGTGTTTACATTATCAAGTAATATAGCAAGTAGTGACATATATTTTATTTTGTGCGTGTGAGAGGCCAACTCTCAGGAGTCAGGTTCTCTTTCCACCATGTCAGTTCTGCGTTTTAAATAGAGTGTCAGACTTGACAGAAAATGCCTTCACTTACTGAGCCTTAACGAATATAATTTTTAAAAAAGGTTTGCAGCTTCAAGAAAAATTGTCATGCGGGGGCTGGAGAGATGGCTTAGTGGTTAAGAAAACTGACTGCTCTTCCAGAGGTCCTGAGTTCAATTCCCAGCACCCACATGGTGGCTCACAACCATCCATAATGAGAACTGGCGCCCTCTTCTGATATACAGGCAGAACAGTGTATGCATAATAAATAAATCTTTAAAGAAAAGAAGAAAATTGTCGTGCATAAGTTTGGGCTTTCCCCAGCAAACCCCCCCCCCCACCTACATGGGCTCCTCTCAGCAGGCTGCATAACTGGCTAAGACCGGGAAAGACTGCTCAAGACAGTCAGCTCTTCTGACTGTCACTGCTGCGACAGGCCTGGATGCGGCAATTTGGGAAGTGAGGGCTCAGGGGCCAGAAGTTCTTGCTGCTCCTGCAGAGAACCAGAGTTCTGCCCCAGCACCCATACCCTGTGGCTCACAAACATCTGTAACTCCGGCTCCAGGGGATCCAGTGCTCGGCCCTGGCCTGCACACACAGCACACATACACTTAAAACTACCATGCAGGTCACAGCAGAAAAAGACTACAGCAAAGTGAGCAGAGCCCAACTGTGGGCCAATATGGATTTGCCTGGCATTGCTTAAACCGCTTAGCTGTGACTTCGGAATTTCCCGCTGGAAAGAGAGCTGAAGTGCTGGCGCCTGGTCCCCTGGTCCTTTCTGCCTTGAAACAATAGTTTTTATATCTATGCTTGGTGACTGGTTTCTCAAGAACCAGATGTCCTTATCTCAGCAAAGCAGCTTGGCTTCCAGATAGTGGTTCAGGTTGGCTCTCTGCTTAGCTCTGCTCCTGGTGGAACTCAGGCAGAGGGGCCTCTCTGTCTCTGAGGTTGCCTCTCAGAGCTCTGCCTTCCTGCCTTTCTGCCTGTGCAAGGTTGCTGGTGAATTTGGTCATTGAGAGGAAGAGTCATAGCGTTCACAGAGTCACCAGTGGGCAATTTGGGAACCCCACCTTCTGCATGCTCAGCTCATGGCCATCCCATTGTCCCATTCCCTGTGCCCCGGTATAATCAGACTGTAGGGAGGGGGGAAAATTTTCCTTATTGATTTTTGTGTTTTTCAAGACAGGGTTTCTTTGTATAGCCCTAGCTGTCCTGTAACTCTCTGTAGACCAGGCTGGCCCCAAACTCACTGAGATCTTCCTGCCTCTGCCTCCCAAGTGCTGGGATTAAAGGCGTGCAATACCATCATCCAGCTTAATGTGATTTTTAAAAAAAGTTATTTGTGTATATGTATGTTTGGTCTGTATGTTGGTATGCATATCTGTGTACTATGTGCATTCCTGGTGCCTACAGAGGCTAGAAGAGAGTCTTAACCTTAACCTTTCAGTATCCTGACTCAAAAGGAATTCAGTGTCATACATACTTTTTTAATTTAAAAGGGCTGGGTGCATGCCTTTAACCATAGCATTTGGGAGGCAGAGGCAGTCAGTCTCTCTGAATTCAGGATCACCTTGGTCTAGAGTTCCAAGCCACCAGTCAAGGCTACATAGCTACATAGTTACATAGCTACAAGGCTACATAGTGAGACCCTATCTCAAAGAAGCAAAACCTCTCTCTCTCTCTCTCTCTCTCTCTCTCTCTCTCTCTCTCTCTCACTCAGAGGAACTAGGGATGGAACTCAGTAGTTGAATGCTTGCCTAACATGCATAAGAAGTTGGGTTCAATCCACAAAACAAAAGAAAACGTGAACTAGCGCCTTAGGTCCAATCTCAACTCGGTGACTACAAAGTGCAGGCCTGATTTGCCTGAGTAAGACGGGGGAGTGTGCAACCTTCAGAACAGTCCCCCCACTCCTGGAGGCTCGTTTACAGGTTCTGTGGTACAGCTATGAGCTCAAACAGCCACAGTTCGCTTGTCCATACTGCTACTGAGAGGTGTGTGTGTGTGTGTGTGTGTGTGTGTGTGTGCAGAGCCTGGGCTGAGGACTGCCCAGGCCCCAGACGCTGGGGTCTTCACTCCTTGAGCAGGTGGGTTGAGGTCAGTCTCTTCACTATCTTCTCCACTGGTAGGTTACCCCAAAGGCCACCCCGAGGCAGAGAGCTTTGAAGAGGACCTGAAGCACTTGAAAGAGAAGGTATCTGCAGGCGCTGACTTCATCATCTCCCAGCTCTTCTTTGAGACCAACACCTTCCTCCGTTTTGTGAAGGCCTGCACAGAAATAGGCATCTCCTGCCCCATCCTGCCCGGGATCTTCCCTATACAGGTGAGGGCTTGCTTCCCAGGCTCCAGTGCACTGTCCTGGGCCAGGGCTCAGGGTCATGCTGTAGTTCCTCAGTGATACTCGATGCCCACCAGGCATTTGGTCACCTCAACTGTTGCCCTAAGAAACAATAGTGCCTATAAAGGGCTTGTTCTTTGGCCTGCTGACAGACATCACTGAAAGTAATTACAACTCTCATCAGGAATCTTGGTTAAGCTGAACCCGATGGTGTACACTTGTAATTCTAGCACTGTAAAGGTGGAATTACAACTTAAGTCTGGCAGATGACTAGCTAGTGAGGCTCTGGAATAGCTGAATTAGGTGACCACTGTGTTGGGCTCAGGGGCTGGCTTGGGCTGATGGCAGGGATGAAGCAGGCAGCTCCCAGACTCTGCAAAGGAGGGGAAAAGCCTTGCCCTTCAGTACCACCTGACTTTCCACTTTTCCCAGGTCCCGCCACATGTAACTAATTAGCCAAGAGACCAGGAAGGGAACCCGGGCTAGAGGTAACCCCATGCCTCTTGTGTCTTGGACAGGGCTACTCTTCCCTTCGGCAGCTTGTAAAACTGTCCAAGCTGGAGGTACCACAGAAGATCAAGGACGTAATTGAGCCAATCAAAGACAATGATGCTGCCATCCGCAACTATGGCATTGAGCTGGCTGTGAGCTTGTGCCGGGAGCTGCTGGACAGTGGCTTGGTGCCAGGCCTCCACTTCTATACCCTCAACCGTGAGGTGGCCACCACAGAAGTGCTGAAGCAACTGGGCATGTGGACTGAGGACCCCAGGTGAGAAATGGAAGGTGGAGGAATATTCCAGGGGAGTCAAAGCAGCAATGGTGCAGGCCCTTAGAGTGTTCACGTGCAGGCTACTAGTGACATTGCAATGGCCAGGCTTGGTGACTTCCTCTAGTTAATCCCTCGGCTTTTCCCTCTTCCTTCTCCCCAGGCGCCCCCTGCCCTGGGCAGTCAGTGCACATCCCAAGCGCCGGGAGGAATGTGTGCGCCCCATCTTCTGGTCCTCCAGACCAAAAAGCTACATCTACCGCACACAGGATTGGGACGAGTTTCCCAATGGCCGCTGGTGAGGGCTGCAGCCACTCCTTGCTAAGAACTGATGGTGCCTGGGAGTGGGGGGGGTAGTTCGGGATGGGATTTATAGGAAAGTGCTCTGACCCCTCTGCTCCTGCCAGGGGTAATTCCTCCTCGCCAGCCTTTGGGGAGCTGAAGGACTACTACCTCTTCTACCTGAAAAGCAAGTCCCCCAGGGAAGAGCTGTTGAAGATGTGGGGTGAGGAGCTCACCAGTGAAGAAAGCGTCTTCAAAGTCTTTGAACTTTACCTCTCAGGAGAGCCAAACCAGCATGGCTACACAGTGAGTGGGGTGGGGTGGGGTGGGGTACCTGGAGTGGGTTCCCTGGGGTCCCCACTCCAGTCAGTCTTGTCTCAGCCTTGGGCTGGACATGAGCTGGGCCGTTTCCTGTCTTGCCGATGTGCACCTCAGCTACGGGAAAATCCTACTCAGGAGCCCATGGAGGCTGGACGCAGGCTGGGTCTCTACAGTGACATCCCAGGCCCAGACTCGTCCATGCCCTAGCTCAGCTCACCTTGCCCTCTGCAGGTAACCTGCTTGCCCTGGAATGATGATCCCCTGGCAGCGGAAACCAGCCTGATGAAGGAAGAGCTGCTGCGCGTGAACAGGCTGGGCATCCTCACCATCAACTCACAGCCCAACATCAATGGGAAGCCGTCCTCTGACCCTATTGTGGGCTGGGGCCCCAGTGGGGGCTACGTCTTCCAGAAGGTATTACAGGTTGCTTGAAGCTACTCACTCTGCTTAAGATATCCCCAGGATGGCAACAAGAGCCCCGTTTTTCCCTCCTAAGCCCTGCATTTTGAATAACTAGGGAGCAGAGCAAGTAACAGGTCACCTGGGAAGAAGGAGGAAACGATCAGCTCTCGGAGCTCCGGCTGCTCATGAGATTGCTGCTTTAATCCCAGACCTGGTGGGGCTGAATTGCACTCCAAAGCAAGGCCTTGGGCCTTGGACTCAGAATACCTGGGTTTAGGTGCCTGCTTTGCTGTTTCCCTTGATACAGCCCCAAACCTGGCTTCCTCCTCTGGGCAAAAAGTACCCGCCTCGCAGTATTCTGGACATTCTAGAAAAATCTGCCTTGCCTAGTCCTATTGGTGGCCTGTGCCAGCCTTCTCCCTTGGCCTGAGCTGGTCAGAGTAGTTCTCACTTCAGCCCCTAACATGCTTCTCTCCAGTGGCTGGTTCCTTGGGACCACTCCAGACAGACAGAGAAGCCTGGAGATCTAGTCAGAAGGCAGAAGGCTGGCAAGGAGCAGGGATTGACATGATGGTGTCTTCTCCTTCAGGCCTACTTAGAGTTCTTCACCTCCCGGGAGATAGTGGAGGCCCTCCTGCAGGTGCTGAAGAAGTATGAGCTCCGGGTCAACTTCCACATTGTGGACGTGCAGGTAGGCCAGCTCCCGGCTTGAGGACACCCACATTTATTCTAACAGTCCCCACACCACCAGGCCAGGCGTATTGTACGAGGCAGGCCTCTTGACAGATGAATATATGCAGTGACAAGTCTGTCTAAGTAGGAAAGGCATACAGTGTAGGATGCTACAGGATCCTGTGTGGGCTGAGTCTGTTACTGTTGTGTGTGGTGTGTGTGCGCATGCGTGCACATGCATGTTCACTCACCCATTACTCTCTGCTTTATCCCCTTGAAACAGCATCTCTTACTGAACCTAGAGTTATGTCAACAGCCTGCATGCCTCAGCAATCCTCTTATCCACCCCATACAGTGCTGGGGTGGCAGGCACGTGCCCAGCTTTTCACATGGATGCTAGGATCCAAACTTGTGAAACAAGCACTCTTACCCATTGAGCCATGTCCCCAGACCCTTGCCGGAATCTTCTTAAGGACAAAGGGCATTGTGGGAAAAGGGCAAAAGGAAAGGATCTGCACTGCACTGCTTATGGAGAAACTGCAAATAGGACATGGTAGTTCTGACCCGGGACCAGGAGCCCTGACATCCTGCCTGGTGCCTGGAGACTGCCTAAAAGCAAGGGAGCCGTTCTCCCAAGTAGCAGGGTGGCTTTACCTCCATTTCTTTTTACAAAGTCACAGCATGCAACTGCGAGGGTGGCAAGGATCAGGGGACATAGTTGGGGGCCCTTGTGGCCTGAAAAGAAAACAGCAGAAAAGCCAGGTGTGGCAGTACAGGTCTATAATCCCAGGATTTGGGCAGCTAATTGCTAGAGAATCTTGAGTTCAAAGCCACCCTGGATTATAAGCAAATCCTTGTCTCAAAAAAAAAGAAAAAAAGGTGCAGCCGGGCCGCCTTTAGTCCCAGCACTTGGGAGGCAGAGGCAGGCAGATCTCTGTAAGTTCGAGGCCAGCCTGGTCTACAGAGCAAGTCCCTGGACAGACTCCAAAACAATACAAAACAAAAAAAGGTGCAAGGTAGCCTAGAAGTCTAGTCAGGCGGTAGCGGCAGATGGGAGCTGCCCAGGATGCCTGTAGGGCTGTGGTTCAAGTAGCAGGTGATGCTGTTCATAGTGACACACCAGGGGGGCAGTATAAGGCTGGGTGTGGTCTGCCAGCAGTGGGCTACAGCTGTCCTATCTCTGTTCCCAGGGAAAGAACATCACTAATGCCCCCGAGCTGCAGCCCAATGCTGTCACGTGGGGGATCTTCCCTGGTCGAGAGGTCATCCAGCCTACTGTGGTGGATCCCATCAGCTTTATGTTTTGGAAGGTGAGTAAGTGGGTAGGAGGGTGTGTGCCTTGCCTGCCTTGAGAGCCCTGAGCAGACAGTTGTCTGAAACACACGGCTGCAAACCACACCCCAGGGTCTAGGAGGCCTCGAGTTAGCAGGTGGTGCTTATTTCCAGGCTAGCTGGAGTGGCACTGTCTTGCCCTTCTCTGGGTGGCCTGCAGGGAGACGGCAGGGCCCAGACCTGCACATGTGTTTGCGTCCACATGTAGGACGAGGCCTTCGCCCTGTGGATTGAGCAGTGGGGCAAACTGTATGAGGAGGAGTCCCCGTCCCGCATGATCATCCAGTACATCCACGACAACTACTTCCTGGTCAACCTGGTGGACAACGAGTTCCTGCTGGACAACTGCCTATGGCAGGTGGTAGAAGACACATTCGAGCTGCTCAACAGGCACACCACGACGGGAGAAGCACAGGCCCCATAAGCCTCCTGGAGCCTCCTCTCCCTCAACTCTCCACACATGGTAATGACTGCAGGGAGCATCCAGGCTCTGGCTGGACCTGAGATGCCCGGTTTAGGAGCAGGTGCTCTCTGCTCAAGCCCATGAGATGATCTGAGCAGGGCCCAGCTGTGAGCAGGCACTGCAGCCAGCTGCCATCTTCTCTGTGCAGCCTAGCCTAGAAACTAGCTGTCCCTGACATCCGTCCCCAGTCCAGCCCTCAGGCCTCACTGCCTGAGGTAGTGACTGGCAGGTACAGATGGCTGCTCCTGAGACCTGGCTCTCAGCCCGCTGGTCTTGTTTGGGGGGGAGGGGAAGGCTGTAGAGCAGTGGAGCGTGAGTGGCCTTGGAGAGACTAAGCAGAAGCAGGCGGGATGCGGGGGTCCTTTTATTGCCTCGCAGAGCTCTGGGAGCTACCTCTCCCGCTGTGGGCCTGTTCCTTCTCTCAGAGGACTAGGCTTGGTTCTGTTTATGTCTCAGGAATATTTCTTGGCATTTCTTGTCCCTGCCCTGCCCCACACCTGCTATATCTGGGCCACTGTCAAGGCTTCCAGGGCACAGGCTGCTGCTAGTTCCTCTCATGGGCTTCTGGCTACCAGGCGCTGGTACCACTTTTCAAAGGCCTGGAAGCAGGGAGGGACAAGAAATGCCATTTGTCTCAAGCTCCCTCCTGGGCCTGTCAGATTCACACCTGTGTGTCTCAACCAGAGGCCTTTTCCTCTGCCCTGGCAGCCTACCCTTTCTTAACCCAAACATGCAGAATAGACTGGACTTGTGACCTGGGAAGCTGTGCCAGTGACCTACACTGCAGTGCCAGTGCCACAAACAGCCTGGTTCTCAGACTGAGTGACTGTGACACCAGGCTGGACTTAGGGCCACCAGTCACAGGCTCTCATGTCCAGGCTGTGACCTCTGTAACCCCTCCCCTCTCCCTGGCTTAGCCCAAAGGTGACACTGGTTTTGGGAGGAGTGGCTCACTGGCTAGGAGAAGTGAGGTAGAGCCACCTGGGAAAGGACCCCGCTCTCTTCTTGCTGGGATAGCTGTTGAGCCACCTGCAGCTGAAGGACCTTTTTCCGCCATGTCCTCCAGGCCTGTTCCAGACGCCATTGTCTGAGCTACAGAGAGAGTTGACAGAAGAGAGTTGACAGAAAGGGATGTGACAAGGGGCCATCATCTAAGAAATGTTAGCAGACAAAGGCTCCTGAGCGCCCTCTGCAGGGTGGAGAGGAACTAAGCCTACCTACCAGGCTCCGAGACAGCCGCTCCAGTGAACATCTACCCAGCGCTGCCATGCCCTCACCAGGCACCTGGCCTGCTGGGAAGCCTGGATATGCTGGCACTGTAGCTGTCTATTCCTAAAGGCCAAGCAAACCATGACCTCTGCAAGGTGAAGAGCAAGGGCCCCAGGGCCACCCCTCCCCCATGATGCCATACGCACAGCTGATCCTGCCACCTTTGAAGAGCTTCGCCTTGGCCCTGGATGGCGCTGGTCCCAGAGGTTGGGGGCTGTGCCCATACAGGCAGTGGCAGCCAGAACTGGAAGGTTACACAGAGGGGCCTCTCTGTGTCACCTGGAGAGGAGAATTGTGTCGAGAGAGTAATGCCTTGGTTTGGGAGCGCAATGGCCAGGTCTCCGGGTTGTGGGCTGGCCCAAGGAGCTAACAGGAGTAGAAGAGAGTCTCTCAAGCAGCTGTGAGCAGGGGCAGCGTTTCACGGGGCTTGGCCTGAGGGCTGAGACCCAGGGACTCTGCTCCTTACTCAGAACACAGGATGTGGTTCTCTGTATGCCTCTGCCGTGCCGCCGTGCCGGGCTACACAGCACATTGTGTACAACCGGTGTCCAGCAGCCGTGGATCTGAGGGAACAGCAGGGGCGCAAGGATCAAATGCTGTGGGCTTGAGTCTGCTGACCAGGAGAGATTCCTGTCTTTCAGCCTGCCACCCAGGAATCTCCAAAACCCCCCCCCCCCGCCCCAGAGGGACAAGCTGCCAGTACATAGCACTACCTCCTCTGACCATTCTCCCATCCAGCTGAAGACATCTAAGCAGAGACTGAGCCAATAGCTGCCCTGTGACAGAACTCAGGCTGTCCCCCAGAGCTAAGTTATGCTCCTGATTGAACCTTGGACATTGCTGAAGCCTTGCTCCTCAGATGTGGCCTGACTCCAACTAAGACAACAAGTATGGGTGACCCCACCCCACTACAGGATGGCTCACGCCTGCACACAATGCCAGGTGAGGGCCATCTGGTGTTGTGTACATGTGCGCCTGTGGTAAAGAGTAGGACCTTGGGAACCATTCTCAGTGTCTGCTTGTTTTTTCTGGAAGCCCAGTATTGAGAGTACAGTATATGGGAACCTTGCCTTTACTGACAAAAGAAGAATGAAGTGTGTGTACTTTTAAAGGGTGGCGGTGTCCCCCTGAAATTTCACTACTTAAGCTGAGTTGAAGCATCCTGGACTATACAAGCTGGGTCTACACAGCCCGGAACAAGTAAAGCAGCATGAGACCCCTTAATCTGCTGTGTCGCTCGGCCCATACATACCTGGGAGCACTGAAATCCAGCAACACTATTGTAACTCCGTTTAAGAGGCAAAAGCCACTTTGGTGACTATCTATCTTAGGCCCCTTTTTTGTTTTGTCTTCCGAGACAGGGTTTCTCTGGGTGATAGCCCTGGCTGTCCTGGAACTCTGTAGACCAGGCTGGCCTGAGATCTGCCTCCTAAGTGCTGGGATTAAAGGTGTGTGCCACCACCCGGCTCCCTTAGGCTCTTTCTAAAGTCGGTTCCGTTCTTTCTGGCTCCTAGCGATGCCAGGTTGTCTTTAGGAACGCTGCCTGGCCTGTCAGGATCGTGGGCTGGGTCCCTCAGCTGTATCTCCAGGCTGCTGGCTGCGCTGTTTCTTGCCCATGCGTTTGTGATGCCCTCTCCACTCCTCCCAGGCCACAGGCCTCGCTCTTTGTTGTGTCAGAGCTAAGAACCAAAAACCCTACTTTCTACTTCATTTTCTGTAATGGGGCACATTTCATTTTTCTTCCAATAAAAGTAAAATTGCTGCTATCTCCATATTTCTTTAGTTTGTTTGTTTGTTTTGAGACAAGTTTTCTCTGTATTGTTTTGGAGCCTGTCCTGGAACTCCCTCTGTAGACCAGGCTGGCCTTGAACTCACAGAGATCAGCCTGCTTCTGCTTCAAGTGCCAGGCTTAAAGGCATGTGCCACCAATGCCCAGCACCATATTTCTCTTTTTAAAGATGTTGGTGTGTGGGTGGGTACACACAAGTCAGAACAGGGACTGAGTATTCAGATCCCCCTGGAGCTTCACAGGGTTGTAAGTCATGGATGTGGGTGCTGGGGACCAAACTCAGGTCCTCTGGAAGAGCAGCTAGTGCTCTTACCACAAGTGCTCTTTACCATCTCTCCAGCCCCAGACTGTGCTGAAACTGAATTTAAACCCTGGTGAAGTAGCTTGGGGGTGCACTTGCTTAGCATGTGCAAGCCTGCAGGGTCTGCATACCACTCTTAAAAAAAAAAGAGTTGGGTGGTGGCACACACATTTAATCCCAGCACTCGGGAGGTGGAGGCAGGCAGATCTCTATCTATGTGAGTGAGAGGCCAGCCTCATCTACAAAGCTAAACAGAGAAACCCTGGGGGGGGGGTTAATATGTGTGATAAGTGTGGGGAGAGGCATGCATGCCTTGGTACACATGGTGGAGGCCAGAGGACAACTTTGTGGAGTTTGCTGTCTCTTTCCACCTTTACATCTGTTCTGGGGGGTCAAATCAAGTCATCGGGCTGGCATGGCAAGCACCTTTATCTGCCCAGCCACCTTGCTGACCCACAAATGCCTTTCTTGAAATTATCTGTCTTTTTGACAAATAGTGTAGCCCTGACTGGCTTCCGACTCAACAGATGTCTGCCTGCCTCTGCTACCCTGGTGCTGGGACTGAAGTCGTGGGCTAATATACTCAGCCACAAACACTTTAAAAAATTTGTGTCTGTTTCCTTAATAGACAAAGACCCTTTGTAACCAGATTTGCACAGGGCTGTCTCTCAGGTTTGCTGATGGGTCCCCCTGCCTCTACCACCTTGCTGACCACCCAGAACTGGGTCGGGTGGTGTCTGTAAGTCTGTTTGACTCTAGCGCCACAATACCATCATGGGCAGAAACCAGCTCATTTTAAGACTGGGGAAGTGACTCCCCTACAACACACACAGAAATACACTCCTGGGCCCACCTCACCTGTATCACAAAATTTGGGGTATCCAGTTGCAGGAGGTACCCTCTGCTGGCCAGCCTCAACCAATGCCTGAAGTCCATGCTCTGTGCCTGGGTCTGTGGCTCCAGCCTCCATCTCAACAGAGTTGACAGCCAGTCAACCCAGTGGGTCCTGAGACACTGAAACCTCTGCCAGCCATGGGTGATATCAGTTTGATGGACATGAGCCTGGACTGTTAACCGCATCCAGAACTCTAGGACCCTGGAGGAGAAGAGGGTGTCCATCAGAGCCAGGATTCTAGGGCTCTGCAAAAGACAAATGCCCAAGCCTGGGCCCCCTCCTGCCCCTTTGCTGGATAGTCCACGAAATGTGCACGGAAAGTCTCAGAAGTGGGTATTATATCACACACACCAGGAACAAGCATCCTGTCTAAAGGGACAGTCCTAACTAACAGCTACACTCTGCTCCCCTCCCCTGGCAAGATGCCAGTACACTATCTCTGTTGTGTTGAGCACATCTGGCAAGGCCGCAAGGCACGGCAGTTTCCAAGGATGGGTCACCACCAAAAAGGTGAAGGAATTGGGATCTACTCCAAAGATCAGGATGTCACACTCAGCAGGCACCACTCAGCCACCAAAATGTGCTTCGCCCTTACCAAAACCAAGTTCAAAAGCTGAGCAGAAAGCACGGTGTGAGGTTGTGCTCCGGCCTTGGACACTCACCTGGTTGCCAGCTGCTGGGCAGCATGAGCTTGGTGGACCTGGCCTAGGTAGGAATCATCCATCCACAGGACCCAGCACGGGGCCACCTGGCCTGGACTCAGGACTTGAGCTCTCCTTCCTGCCTGTTGCTGGGCCTCAGGGTACTGCCCCAGAGCCACTCGCCATACCACAAAAGCCTGCTGGGCCTGGGCCCTCCTCAGCTGCTGGTCAGCTCCACACTCTTGGGAAAAGCTCCTCCTGCCCAGCACAGAGCCCTGGGCCATGCACGGATCCTGTGCCTGGGGCCCTGCTCTGCAGGCCGCCTGTGAGCTAGCAGGTGTGGCCCCCAGAGCTCCTTTCAGGTCATCCTGGAAGGCTTGCAGCTGGTCCTGGGACACTCCTAAGTCCCTCACTCGTTCACACCAGGCCTGGAAATAGCTGCAAAGGGGGAGGGTGGGGCACAGGTCAGCTCTCAGTTGGCTGTTGTATTTATTCAAAGTGACACCTGCAGACGTGCCTGTGATCTCAGCACTGAAGCAGGAGGATCTCCTGGGCTAGCCTGGGCTTGAAAAACCAAAGGCTGGGTGTCTAACTCAATTGGTGAAGTGCTTTCCTAAAATGCACAATGCCTTGGGTTCAGTTTCTAGCACTAAATTCGCTAGGCAGAGTGGCATAAGCCCATAAGCCCGCCCCGCCCCCCATACAGAGGCAAGAGGATCCTTGGCTGCCTAGTGGAAGAAGCCTGGGCTACATGACTTTACCCTCTTCTGACCACCATGGGAGGACTGAGGATCTGGACCTCCTCACAGCCGGAGAAAACACCTCTGTCCCCTTCACTGGCCTGTAAAGTCAGAGGACTGGTTTGGTCAGGAGGAAGACTGAGGCTTGTCGCCAGCCCCAAATTAATGAGAGGCTGCTGGCTTAGACCAACTCCCTTCAGGTCCCCACCCCACCGAAATCCCAGGCCTGCAGTCAGAATCCCAATGCTTTTTATGTCCTCGGCTCCCTGCCTTTCCTATGTGTGTGTGTGTGTGGGGGGGTGACAGAGCCCTCCTACCCAACAAGCCCCCAGATCTGAAGACATCGCTGTCCCAGTCCCAGATACTGCCTGCTGCCAGCCCCACCTCTGAGACTGTTCATGGAGAAACTGCTGTCCTGGGGGCAGATAGACCAAGAGCCACTAGAGAGAGCCCCCCTTCCCCTGCACCTGCTCAGCCTGCCCTCTGCCCTACACTATCTGCTAGCTAAAACGCTTTTGGTCACCAGGCTTTGCATTCAGGTAAGTGAGGCACCTTTTTGTGTGTGTTTTGTTTTGTTTTTCGATACAGGGTTTCTCTGTGGTTTTGGAGCCTGTCCTGTAACTCGCTCTGTAGACCAGGCTGCCTTCAGACTCACAGAGATCCACCTGCCTCTGCATTTGCTGGGATTAAAAGCGTGTGCCACCAACGCCCGGCTGAGGCACATTTTTGTTTTTCTTGGTGCTGGAAACTGAACCCAGAATATCACCCATGCTAAACACATACTCCCCAAAGGATGCCATTCCCAGCCTCAAATTTTCTTTTTTGTTGAAGATTTTGATAATGTTTAGGCATTAGAAGAATTGGAGAGTTGTAAAAATCTAGGCGGTGGTGGGGTATAGCTCAGTTGAAAGAAAGCTTTGTCTTGGCCTGGGTTGGATGAAGGCCTGGGTTTGATCCCCAGTATTGTACAATCTGGGATTAGTGTCTCAGAACTATAATCCCTGCACTTGAAAGGTGGATGTAGGAGGATCTAAGTTCAAAGTTACCTGAAGTCAGCTACACAGCAAACTGGAGATGAGACCCTGTCTCAAAAACAAAACCCAAAACAATAATAAACAAGACCTAAACTCCCAGGGGCTGGAGGAGTGTCTCGGTAGTGAGAACATGTATCACTTTTCCAGAGGCCAGAGTTCCATTCCCAGCCCCCACATCAGGTGCCTCACAACCGCCTGTAACTCCAGCTTCGGGGGATCCAATATGCCTCTAGCCTCTGAGGGCACCAGCATGCACATATTAAAAATAAAATAAATCTTTTTTTAAAAAATGTAGGTTTCTGCTTTCGCTCTAAAAACTAAGATTTGACGTTTGTTCCTGGTGGACAAGTATTGAGCTGTATACGCTGGTGGGCGTAGAGGATCCTGAGAACGCCACCAATGGGCCAGCAAGCTGACCCAGTCAGTAAAGGACTTGAATTCCTGAATTCAGTTCTCTGAATCCATATGGTGAGAACCAGCTCTCTCTGACCTCCACGTGGTTGCTGTTGGCATATGCACATACAGGCTCACACAGGGAGAGGGACTGGGGGAGAGGGAATAACCAGCCATTCCTGGGATTAGATTGCAAAGAGAGAGGAGTTTCTAGTTCAGACACACACACACACACACACACACACACACACACACACACACACACACGGCTCACTGCCTCCTGCATCACTCTCTTTGTATGAGTGAGTGAGTTCTACAGAGATGCCCTGTAGTGAGACTCACCAGCACTCCCACAAGGGGGCTTAAAAGTGGGTGTCTGCCCTACACAGAGCTTTCAGCCCTGGGTGACCCCTCACTACAGCCCTGTGGGAGAAAAGGAAGCAGAGGGGCCCATAAGCTGTCGGACTCCCTCTTGCAGAGGCAGGTGGATCTCTGTGAGTTCAAGCCCTCCTGGTCTACAGGGCAAGTTCCAGGGCATCCAGGGCTACACAGAGAAACCCTGTCTCAAACAGCAACAACCACACACACACACACACACACACACACACACACACACACACACACACACAAGAAATCAAACAAACAAACAAAAAAAACTGTAAGCAGGAAACCAGCAAAATGTCTCAGTGGGTAAGGGTGTTTGCTGCTGACCCTGACAACCTGAGTTAAATCCTCTGGATTTACAGAGATGATGGAAAAAATTGACCCTTGTGAGTTGTCTTCTGACTTCTATATAAGAGCCATGGCACACACACACACAACCAATTAACTAATTCATTAATTAAAATGTAGGGGCTGGGAGTGTGGCTCGGAGTTTGGCTCAGTGGCAGACTGGAGCGCTTGCCCAGCATGCCAAGACCTTGGATTCCATCCCCAGAACTGAAGTTAATTAGTTATATAAAATGCTCAAGTGTTGGGGCTATTTGTTGCTCAGCAAGGGGTGGGAGCCTCCTGGATGTGACTATGACTTGGCTGGGGTCAAACTGAGTACAGAGAGAAAGGTCCTCCTTTCTGCTGAGCCAGGATCCCGGGAAGCTCGCCAGGATCCATCCCCCTCCTTCCCCAGACAGGCTCCTCTCCCAGGCTGCTCGCTCAGCACTCAGCAAGCCTGTCTCTTCTGCCCAACTAGCATCATGGCCCTGAGAGCACTGGGGCTCTGCCTTCCTGACCTCAGAACACAGGCAGCGACTCCTGGAGGCCCGGCAAAGCAAAGGTGATGGGGGCAAAGGAAGGGTGCTGATGTTCTGAGTTTGCCATGGACTGTCTCATGGGCTCACACAGTCACCCCAATGAAGCCTGTTTACAGATGCTGGAACAGGGACTCGAGTACTTAGGCAGCTCCAAGGACAGCCAGGGCTATTACACAGAGAAACTCTGTCAAAAACAAAAAAACAAAACAAAAGATCCACACAGCAGGAGACGGGAGAGCCAAGACCCAGTCGAAGTGTCCTACACTCAGGCCTTCATGCACCCTCTGCGATGCAGCCCCTGGGCTCTGAGATGGCTATGGAGTTTCACTAAGGGGCTCTGGCCTTCCCCGCCCATCCTTGGCTCACTTTGCCAGCAGGAGAGCCAGCAGCTCAGGGCCACTTGCACCAGTCCCTGGCCCTGCTCCTGACTCTCTTCTGCACTGCCCACCACTGCACCAGCAGCTGCCACCACACCCATCACAGCCCGTGGCTCTGATCCCAGCTGGCTCTGTCCAAGGCCCTCGAGCTGCAGACCAGTGGCTTCAGGGAGGACACTGGGGAGGAAGGGGAATGTTCACTATGTCTTTGGGCTAGCCTCACCTTCTGCCCTCTTCCAACCTCCCCTCAACAACAGGTATAGCCTGGGTGAGCTCCAACCAAGGAGAGGATGGGTTGCTGGGGATCAGAGGGGTCTAGAGCCCTTCCAAAGGACTCTATGACAGGTGATCAATGCCAAGTCTAGTGCTCAGCCACTGAAGTCAGTAATTACCCTCATTTTACAGACAGGGAAGCAGAGAAGTCAAGTAACTTGTGCCAAAATCTCACAGCCAGAGGCACAGAGCAAGTGTTGGGATATAAGCAGTCCCTTCTCAAGCCCCGCCCTGTGAGGTGAGAACATCTGGAGAGTGTCCTGCCCCCGCCCCCACCCCCACAGCAGGATTGGACAAGAGGAAGTGGGCACCATGCTGACTGGGATGTGAGCAGGGACGCCATGCTGACTGACTGGGATGTGAGCAGGGGGGCCCCTGAGATGCAGACTCCACAGCCTGCTGCTGGGAAGGCCAAGGATGGGTAGGAGGAACAGCCCGGAAGCACAGTGGACAACAGGGCCCTCCCTTCCTGGGGAGGGGTTCCTACCGCCTCTGCAGGGTACGCCGGTACAACCTCACTGCACCCCCAGTCTGCAGGACCTGCACCTGCCAGGGAAGAAGGCACAGTAAAGGCACAGAACCTGTCGTGCCACCTGGCTGCCTACAGGATGCCCACCAGGAAGGTCTCTAGGAGGGTGGGGCCTCTGGGAAACTGGGAGGTATGGGGTAGGTCCTGGGTCCCCCCATCTCCACCCCACTCTGGCCCCTCACCTTCTCCAGTGAGCATCCTGATGCTCTGCAGCCCAGCCAGGCTTCCCCTCTCTGGCTGTTGCCCCATGGCTCCAGGGCTAACACGGTCTCCATGGTGTTTAGGGGAGAATCCAGACCCCAGACCCTTAAACGCCACTGCCTCAGGATGTGCTGCAGAGCCCGCTTCTGCATGCCCTGAAAAAAGGAGCTGGGGGAGGGGGGCAGGTAGGTCTATGGTCTCCCAGCACCTATGATTGGGACAGGGCTGCCATGAGAGGATCCAGCTGGAAGGCCTTGATCAGCTGAAACCAATGGATCACTGGGAGCAGCAAGAAATGATGTCATAGCTCAGTGGTGGAGGCTTGCTCAGTGTGGATGAGTCTGAGGGCCTGATGCCTGGCCCCACAAAGACACAAACAAGTCTCTCTAGTGACAGCCCTGCCCACTGCCCTCTAGTGGGAAACTCAGTTAAAACAAACAAACAAGCAAGCAAACAAACAAACCCACTTTTCCTAAAAGCAAAGCAAAGTGAAACAAAAAACAAACAATCAAACACAAGCCCAGGCATGGGAGTTCACGACTGTAACCACAAAACTCAGGAAGCTGAAGCAGGAGGATTGCCAATAGTTTGTAGCCATCCTGAACTATGTGCCATCATGCTTGCTAGAACAGGGTTCTCTTTCTTCTTCTTCTTCTTCTTCTTCTTCTTCTTCTTCTTCTTCTTCTTCTTCTTCTTCTTCTCCTCCTCCTCCTCCTCCTCCTCCTCCTCCTCCTCCTCCTCCTCCTCCTCCTTCTTCTTCTTCTTCTTCTTCTTCTTCTTCTTCGTCTTCTCCTTCTTCCTTCTTCTTTTTGTTTGTTTTGTTTGTTTGTTTGTTTCCTTTGAGACAAGGTTTCTTGGTGTAGCCCTGGTTGTTGTAGAACTCACTCTATTGACTAGTCTGGTTTTGAACTCAGTGATCTGCCTGCCTCTGCCTCCCAAGTGCTGGGAGTAAAAGAAATTGCCACCACCACCCTGCTGTAACAGAATTCATAGCTCTGTAACTCCTGGCTTATTCTCACTGGTAGCCTAGTCTAGAAGTTGGCCCCTGATGACCCCAGCCTCCCTTCGCCACGGCCTAGGCTCAGAATCCTGGTACCACCTGTCCTTGTAAGGGCGGCTGGGAGAAGGTGGCCCCAGCAGCTTTCTGCTTTGTCACTGTCTCAGTGTCCCTCTGCCACCTCCCAGGGCCTGATATCTGCTGGGAGACACAATGTGTCAATATCAGGCCTCCTGTCGAGGCCATGCGAAGGCTGGGGATGTTGACTAGGATCTAAGGGACAATGGCCATGTATCCACCTTGTGCCTGGGGGCTGACCCTATGTCATCAGTTTTGGGATACCTACAGGGCTTGCTGGAGCTGGTAGAGTCGTGTCCTCCAGAGCATCAGGACCCGGTGTAAGGCCAACCTTTGGCAGGCTTCCCACAGGGAGCACCCATCTGGCTTCCTGGGTAGCTGCTGGGCCTGGACCACTGTCTCCAGGGAATAGGAGGTGGCAGTTCCTGGGACTAAGATGCTGAGGGCCTTATCCCCTGGGGAAAAGGCAGGACGTGGTTAAGTTGCTGTTCATAAACATGCAGCTGCATCCCCAGGCCTCCTGGGCCCTCCCCATCAGGGGCACTGGCCTACTGTCTTCCACATGCTCCCCATAAGGCTGCCTCAAGTCCCCCATCTTCCCCAGCTTGGGAAGGGTCTTCCTGGAGCAGAGGGCCATATGCTTTCACAGTAGAATGTGGGACAACTCAGCACTAAACCAGAATAGTCCCCTGCCCAGAACAGCTTACACGGGGACAGGGCTATAACCCAGCAAGGCCTGGTCCCTCTGGGAACCCTTCCCAAAGGGTAAGCCCCCACCCCAAAGATCCAGCTCAGCAACGCCCTCTCCCATTGTCATATTCATGAGTTTCACTGGGCTCTGGAGCTCAATTAATTGGAGCTCTGGTTGGAGGGAAGCTCCCCCTTCCTTCCCCCTCCCCCTCCCCCCATTTGCCACTCTGCTCACCTGCCTTCCGCCGATAGAGGGCCAACTGAGTCACCTTTGTCACATCTGAGGCCTGGAGCTGCTTCATTTCCATCCACTGTCCCAAGCATATCCTCAGGACCCTCAGCCTTCGGTGTGCCAGGTGTCGCCTGCACTGGGCCCCCCTTTGCACGAACCGTTGCCAGGCCCTGAAGCACCTAGAGAGAGAAGGGGAATTACCCTTGGCAGCCCCTGCAGACACCTGCATCCTGAGACACACACACACACACACACACACACACACACACACACACGCACGCACGCACGCTCACACGCACGCACGCACGCTCACACACGCACGCACGCTCACACACGCACGCACGCACGCTCACACGCATGCACGCACGCACGCACGCTCACACGCGCGCGCACGCACACACACGCATGAGCACCACACACACGCACACACGCACGCACACACACGCGCACGCACGCACGCACGAGCACACGCACGCACGCACGCTCACACACGCATGAGCACACACACTCACACACGCACGGTCACACACACGCATGAGCACACACACGCGCGCGCACACACGCATGAGCACACGCACACATGCACACACACGCATGAGCACACACACGCGCGCGCACGCACAAGCACACATACACGCACGCACGCTCACACACACGCGCACGCACGCATGAGCACACACACACACACACACACACACACACACGCACACATCAGTGGCCCTGCCCTTCCCCTTTCTGAGCCTCTGTTTCTCACCTACAAAACAGAAGGCTTCGAGAAACTGAGCGAGGCATCTGCTCAGGCCACAAATGTCCTAGCACCCTCCCACCTGGCCCCACACCACCCTCGCCTCACTCATTCTATTGCTTCCGTCTCTGACCAGGGTGATATTTCTGTCATCTCGAGTCCTATCAGCTCAAGGGCCTGCTCAGCCTCCTGAGGCGTTCTTTTTGCTCCTAGAATAAAATCTCAACTCCTTCCCATGGCTCCCAAGCTAAGTGGGACCTGACCCCGAACACCTTTTCCACCCATCTAAAGTCTGAAAACATTGCAGAGGCCCCCTCAGCTGCCCATTATTGCTGAGTTTTAGGTTTGTTTGTTTGTTTGTTTGTTTGTTTGTTTCAAGACAGGGTTCCTCCATGTAGCCCTGCCTGTCCTAAAACTTGCTCTGTAGACCAGGCTGGCCTCAAACTCAAGAGATGCACCTGCCTCTGCCTCCCGAGTGCTGGGGTTAAAGTTCACCACCACTACCCAGTTCTGGTTTTCTCCTTAATGTATTTGGTCTTCCTACATTACCTAACGTTACCTTGATATCCTGGATTCCAGCAATCCTCCTGCCTCAGCCTCCTGAGTAGCAACTGGGCCTATGAGCTTTTACTACTCCGCTGGCTCTTTTTAAGGCCCTTGCATGCTCTGTTTCCTTTGTGAGGTGCTCTGGTCCCTGCAAACCTCCACTAGAAACTATTCATCCTTCATGCCGCTCACCATGTCTAGGTCACTCGGTCACTTTCAGTGTTAAAAGCTCTTTCGGGGAATGGGGGGTCAACATGGGGGCATGAAATAAAAAAAAAAAGGAAAGGCCCACAGATAAAAAAAAAAGGTACTATGGGGGCTGGAGGGGTGGCTCAGTGATTAAGAGCACTGGCTGCTTTTGCAGGGAATCGGGGTTCAGTTCCCAGCATCCACACCTGTCAGCTCAGGAACCACCTGTAACTCCAGATCCAGGGGCTCCACTGCCTTCTTCCAGACTCTGTTGCATGTATGTGGGCACATACAACCATTCACGCACACATATGTAAATAAAAATTAGTATAAAATATAAGCAAGTAAAAACAAACATTATACTGTCTGGTTACTCAACAGCTTACTAACTACATGGTTAGGTAGGCCCTGACTGTTCCTCTTTCATAATTATAAATGGTGTTGTGACTGGCATGCTTTTGTCCAAACCTTTGTCCTCATCATGACTCTCTGTGGACGAAGCTGGTGGGCAGGGACAGAGTGGGGATGGGGCAGTAGGCCACCAGCTGCCTAGGCCACATTGCCCAGTCTTGGTGTTCAAGCTCACCTGCATTTCCAGGCAAGGCCTGTGGCTGCTTCTCTTCCCAAGGAAGGGCTTCCCCTAGAAGCAAAGAACGGAGCTGCAGCCTGGGTGTGGGGTAGCCCCTGTTTCTGCTGCAGAGCAACTCCTCTCCCCTGGGTCAAAAGATAATGGGCAAACGGATGCCGAGTGAGGCCTGGAATGAGGCTCCTGTCAGCCACCAAAGCTCTGGCCCTAACCTAGCACTACCCATTTCCTTGGGAATGATGGAATGTAGCAAGAACCCCAAGAGACAAAACTTTCCCTTGGAACAAACCTTAAAAGGAAGAATATCCACACATCCTCCCAGGCCAGGCTAGCAAATCACTAATTAAAAAAACAGCAGACAAGGGGCTCGAGAGATCATTCATGAGCTGCAACCTAGGCCCTGCAGATACCCTCTCTCAGTAGGTGTAGCCGCCTCTCAGACATGCCAGAGCTGCGTCATTCCCTCCACGCCCCCACCTAGAGAACACTGACCTCTTGGAAGCTCCAGGCCAGCAGAGCCTCTGCACATTGCTCCCATGCAGCCTCCAGCCGGGCCTCCCGGAGCCGTAGGACCCAGCGCAGTACTCTGAGGCTCTTTCGAATCAGCTGCCTGTGACTCAGCGCCTCGGCCTTAGCTGCTGCCTGGTGCCTCTGTGACAAGTGTCTCCAGGCTCTGAAACTTCTGGACAGCAGCTTCCGGCTGGGAACAGAGCAGGGCTGATGAAGGGGTGACATAACTCTCAGCTGCCTATGACTCCATTCGTATGACTTTTCCAGTAATTGCGAAGGTGACTCCGGCCCCCTTCCATAGCAGAAGTCCTAGCTGCACACCCAAAGAACCCTCTTTGCTAATGCCTGGACTTAATAGTCCCCTCCAAGTAAGAGGCTCCCAGAGAGAAGGGCATTGCCCTACTACACTGATGTCTACAATTCCCAGTGAGCCAAACCCAGGGGTGTAGAACTTATCCTTGGGCCCTAAGGCCCCTGGTTTCTTATAAGGGACGGTGTGAAGATAGTTATGTCCCCTTGAAGTCCTGCTGTGGCTCTGCCATCAAATGCCTATCTCCGTCAAGTCTCTAGCACAGGCAGACGGGTCAGGACCTATCCCTGAAGTGCCTCCCCCCATCGTCCCACACAGTAGGACCTCACCACGCTGCCTGGGGATCCGAGGCCCCAACACTTTGAGCCTTGTTCTGCAGAAACAAAAGCCATGACAGTTGTCAGGCTAAAGAGCAGGAGTGACGACACCACCACCATCACCTGACCCCCAACACATACATATACACATCCTGGGACTTCTACCTGCAGAGTACTCTGAGCTGGAGCAGCATTTGATGGGCAGGAGGGCATCTTCTCCCCATCCCTGCCTGCTTTTCCCTGTGGGGCCTTCTCTCTTCCTGCCTGCCCAGGCAGGACACTGAAGAAGGTTGGAGATTCGAGTCTGGCCTCTCTGCTACCTGCCTCTCGTGTGACACTTAAGTGTCCTCTGTTCCTCTTGTTATATGGAAGGTCTGGGGAGCCCCTCTCTCTTGCCCCAAGGTGCTGGGTAGAAAGGACCTCCTGGTCTGAGTCAGAGAAATCCCCAGCCAATGTCCCCAGAGTGGCCTTGTGTAACAGGGGCTTGTATACAGGGGACTCTGAGAGTCTAGTTTGGACCCCAAGAGTCCCCAGGAGGTTTATACTTTCCCTGGGGTGCTCGGGCCAAGGCTGAACAGGGGTTGACTGTCTACTACGGGTGTGGGGCCCCCTGTGTGTAGGGCCTGGGTGCTCCTGGGATGTCTGGCTCCTTGAATGTGTTGCCTCAGGCTCAAGGTGTTGGATAGGGTCCAGCAACCAGTGGTTACTGCTGTGTGAGGAACGGGATGAGACCCAGGACCGGCTGTGGGCAGAGACAGACAGGTCCTCCAGGGTGAGGGGCTCCCCAACAAGCCTGGGTGCCCCGCTCCCTGAACCACACCAGGGCCTGTGGTCAGGCCATGTATACCCATTAAGAGGTGCTAAGCCCCCAGAGAGTCTTAAGTCCAAGCATTGGGTGTCTGTGGCCTGGGGTGTCTGCCTCTGGTAGAAGGATGCTCCAGGTGGTGACAGGCAGCTGTTCCGTGGATGGGGGCTGGTGGTCCCTTGGAAGCACAGGTTACTCTGCTGTGCAAAGGGCTCTCGGGTCCTCGCTTGGGACCTCCCTGCTGAAAGCTGTAGGTTACTCTGCTGCCAGAGACCTGTGTCACCTAGTTGGCCAGTTGTATCCTTCAGGGCAAGGGCCAGGCGGGGACAAGGGCTGGTCAGATTGCTTTGGACTTGGTAAGCTTTCTGGCATAGCACTGAGTCTTGGGAGCGTATGGTGGCCTGGCACTTAGACATCCTCCTGCCTCCTCTACTGCCCAGGCTGATGTCCAGGCTCCTCCAGGATCTCTTCAGCTCTATAAGGAAGAGAGACAGCCACACCCTGGGAACCAGCTGATGGCTTCTCAGGTAAGACAAGTGGGTATCCAGGCCTCAGAGCTGGGGAGTGGTAGGGCTCCTGGTGGGAAGGACTCAGGACTTCAGCACCATATCCTTGAGGGAACTCCAGGCCCAGGGGCCTCGGAGCCAGGTGGTCATGTGGTTTGACAGAGGCCTGGCCACATAGAGCATGGATGAGGAGGGACAGAAGGGAGCCTGAGGGAGGGCTGTCTGCAGCTGGGACCAGGGTGTATCGAGGGCTTTGGATCTGGGGGCAATCAGCTGAGAAGAAGGGGTAAAGGGAGAAAAGGAAAGGGTGAATGGTGAATTTACCCAGTGGTTACTCGGAACACTCCCACCCCTTAGCACCCTGACTGCCCTCCAGTGACCCCAACTGACCCAGGCATAAAAACCAGAATCTGACAGAGCAGTGGTGGCCCATGCCTTTAATCCCAGCACTCAGGAGGCAGAGGCAGGTGGATCTCTGTGAGTTCAAGGCCATCCTGGTCTACAGAGTGAGTTCCAGGACAGCCCCGAGATTCTGGCCCAGAGACCTATATCCCTAAGGCCCTACCCCTCAGGGACTCCACCCTTCAGAGGCAATGCCCTCCCAAGATCCTCCCCTTTGGGGCCCCTCTTTCCCAAGCCCCACCTTTCCATCCTTCTCAAGAACCCTCCCTTGAGATGATGCTGTACCAACCAAGCCAACCTTGGGAAGCAAATCTCCAGGGCCTGGAAGGTGCTGGGCAGGTACCTGGGGTATCCACTGTCACCGCCTTACCAGGCTCAGTGGGCTCCTTACCTGGCCCCAGGACAGTCACAGTCTTCGGGGGCACATTCTCCTTGAATCTGGTGGCAGGTCTTGGCTCCATGGGCTGTGGGTCAGCATTCAATTAAATGGGTTGGGGTAGGGTAGAGCTCAGGGTGGAGTACTGGCCTGGCATGTATGAGACCTTGGGTTGGATCCTAAGCTTAAATACAGGGATGGGCAGTCAGGCTCTCCGGAGGAAGGAGATACCCTGTGAGACCCTTGGGCCACGTCCTCAGCTATTCTGGACACGGTCCCTCCCTCTCTGTGTAGCAGTTTCTGTCCACTGCCCGCATAGCTTCTCCCCTTTCTGTTGTTATATTTTCTTCTTTTTTGAGTTTTTAAAAAATGTATTTATTTATTATGTATACAACATTCTGTCTGTATCCCTGCAGGTCAGAAGAGGGCACCTGATCGCATTACAGATGGCTGTGAGGGAATTGAACCCAGGACCTCAGGAAGAGCAGCCAGTGCTCCTAGCCTGTGAGCCATCTCTCTAGCCTGATTTTTTTTTTCTCTCTCTCTCTCTAGCCTGATTTTTTTTTTTTAGGCAGGGTCTATGTAACCCTGACTGGCCTGGAACTTACTATGTAGACCAGGATGACCTCAAACTCACAAAAGTTCACCTGCCGCTGCCTCCCAACTGCTGGGATTAAAGGTGTGCACCACCATGCCAATCTAAGGGCATCAGATCTCCAGGAACTATAGTTACGGATGGCTTTGAGCCATCTTGTGGGTGCTGAGAACCAAACCTGGGTCCCCTGGAAGAGCAATAAGTGCTCTTAACCACTGAACCATCTCTCCAGTCTCTCTTCTCTTCGAGAGTTTCTCATGTAGATCAGGCTAGCCCCAAGCCTGCTATGTATAGATAGCCAAGGATGACACTGAACCCCCTTCCCCAAGTGCTGGGATTACAGGCTTGTGCCACCACACCTAGTCTGTGCGGTGCTGGAGCTCAAACCCTGGGTTCTCTGCATTCTAGGCAAGCATGCTACAGAGTCTCATCACCAGCCTTTTTACTTTTTCTTTTTCTCCCTCCCTCCTTCCTTCCTGTACTTAAGTTCTGCTTCAAACATCACCCAAGCCCTTCTGCCATCCATGGCAGCATGCTGCCCACCCCTCACTCTCTGTGCCCTGCATGTGTTCCTTCTGGCATGTACCATCACTATGTGTATTGAAGAGATGATGGTCTTACCTATACAAACCCAGCATACAGAATAGCCTGGCACATGGCTGGGCTTATGGATGTGTTAAGTGACTGTATCACGATAAACACCAGCTCAGCCATTTGTAGGCATTCTGCTGTTTAATCTGCAGTCGGCCCTAAGAGTGCTTCCCAGTTCTAGAAAGGAAGCCACTTGGGCTTAGGAAGGCCACCAGCTGGTTGCACAGTCGCACAGCAGGGCAGCTCTGCTGAGAAGGCTGGTTTGTAAGCACACGTGGCTTCCCCTGCCATCCCCACGCCCACTTAAGGACACTCAGCGCCTCCCTTTTCTCACCATAGGAGCCTGTGACCGGTTTCCTGCCCTCCTGGACCTGCCCTCTCAATCTTTCTTGGGACCTTTCTTTTGACCAATCAGGTTTGAACCGGGAGGGGCTCTCCGCTGGGGACCGCTAACGATCACAAGAAATGTGAGGTAGAAGAATTTCAAAGACAGGAGCGTGCCCGCCTAGCCCCGCCCCGCCCCGCCCCAGGGTGCCTTGCGCATTCCCAAGCAAGAGTTGGAGATGCCTTCACGTGCTTGGGTCCAAGTGAGTTGCATGCGCTCTGTGCGAAGGTTCTGACCCAGGACTTGCATCTCAGTTCCAAGGCAGACACATTTTTTTAAGTTGTTTGTGATCTCCGGGCCGCGGGTCCCCCCAGAAGTGGCTGGAAACCACCCCACATCATCTCGTCGTTATGTTTTGATATTGAACCGATCATGCTTCCCTTCAAAACTCGCGCATTTCCCACATCACACACCTTTGCCTGGGCTGCTCCACATGCTCTCTGCAACGCCTGCTTTTCCTGTGACACTTGTACGAGGAGGAAAGAGCCTGGGAGCAAGTCACAAGGCGCGTGCTGTCGGGTGGCCTTAGACACACTCCCAAACTCTCTGTGTGCTGTTGGGTGGCCTTAGACACACTCCCAAACTCTCTGTGTGCTGTCGGGTGGCCTTAGACACACTCCCAAACTCTCTGTGTGCTGTCGGGTGGCCTTAGACACACTCCCAAACTCTCTGTGTGCTGTCGGGTGGCCTTAGACACACTCCCAAACTCTCTGTGTGCTGTTGGGTGGCCTTAGACACACTCCCAAACTCTCTGTGTGCTGTTGGGTGGCCTTAGACACATTCCCAAACTCTCTGTGAACCCCCCACTCCATTTTTTTTTTTTTTTTAAGCGGTGCTGGGGATTGAACCCACGACATGTGCATGCTAGGTAGGACCTTTTCCGCCGCATTCCATCTCTAGCCTTCCTCCTACTCCTTTCTTCTAAGACTATGTCAAGCCTGGTGTGTGGTAGCTCTGCAAAGGCAGAGGCAGGCAGACCTGTGTGAGTTCCAGGCCAGCCTGGTCTACACAAGTGAGTTCCAGGCCAGCCTGGTCTACACAAGTGAGTTCCAGGCCAGCCAGCACTGCATATGAGCCCTGTCTCAAATAAGTTAAAAAAAAAAAAAATCCATGACAATTATCTTCCTAAACCTGGTGGATGAGGCCGTTTGCCACCTTCCCACACCCCATCTTCTGTCACTGAACTTCTTCCTATATCGTCTCTAGGCTGCTTTTCTAGAGACTCCTTCAAACCTGTCTTCCAGGCCACCAGGCCTCAGGTCAGTGTGCTGCATTGGTTTCTGCTTTAAACCTATGTTTGCCATCTGTAGAAGTGGTTGTTCTCTTTTCTTACCAGTCACCCCAGCCTCCATAGAGCATATTCCAGCTCTGAGATTAGTTCTACCCCTTGTCCAAGGCTCCTCTTTCCAAGTCTATGCATCCCCAGGTCAGTTTCCCGTTTGGGAGCTGGGGACCCTAGGTTTCCTGGTGGTGAGTGAGGGTAGGGAGAGTAGAGATGCCGACAGACTGGCTTTCATATTCTGGGTCACAGGTAATTCTCTTGTGTATAGTATTTTAAATGAAGTCCATTTGCAAGCCACTGGAGCGGGAAAGCACTTAGCTCTCTCCAGCCTCAGAGCCATCCGTGGCCTCTGCAGGCCATGTCTGGCTCACACGTGTTTCACAGAATGGAACCTCAGAGGGTACTTCCAGCCTTCTGAAATTGTGTAAAGGTGCCCCCACCATGTTTACACCATGGATAAATGAATAGCTATTTGGACGGACGGACTGGTCACCCTTGCCCTTGTGAGGTATCACAGCAATACATACAATAGGCTGTAACATTTACTGAACATCCAGGTTATACCCTTCTCCACTATCACCCAGTCCCTGAGTCACACGTGGTTATTATCCTCACTTCTCTTTAATTTACATTTTTATTGTGTGTGTGTGCACGCACGTGCCCTATCGCCATGACGTTCACGTGGAGATGAGAAGAAAGCTTTCAGGAGTAGCTTTCTCTTCTTACACCATGTGGATCCTAGGAGTCAAGCCCAGGTCATCAGACTTGACGGTATGTTCCCTCACCCACTGAGCCATCTCTATAGCCCATCTTATTCCCATTTTTCAGATCAGGAAACCGAGGCACATGGTTGCCGGACATTGGTGGCACACGCCTTTAATCCCAGAACTCGGGAGGCAGGGGCAGGCAGATCTCTGTGAGCCCAGCCTGGTCTACAGAGCTAGTTCCAGGACAGGCTCCAAAGCAATACAGAAAAACCCTGTCTCAAGAAACCAAAACAGAAAGAAACAGTTGTTTAGCAGGTGGTTGTGCACACCTTTAATCCCAGAAGGCAAAGGAAGGTGGAGCTCTGTGAGTTCCAGGCCAGCCTGGTCTACTGAGCGAGTTCAAAGATAGCCAGTGTACACAGAGAAACCTATTTCAAAAACAAAAAAACAAACAAACAAAAAACAAAACAACAGAGCAAACCCAAAGAGAAGCAGTTGTCTCTTATATGGAAGTTTCAGGGTACCTTTAGGATTTAATTACTTATATTGTGGAGGGGGCATTGCCACAGTACAAATACCGTGGTCAGAGGACAACTCTCAGGAATCCGGACCCCGAGATCAAATTCAGATTTTGGTGGCAAGGCCCTTTCCCACGAGCCATCTCATTACTCCATCTTTAAGATGTAAAGGACGGTTCACTGGCTGCAAGGTGAGTTGCAGGCTGGCTGTTGAGAACTGGACTTGCTGGACTATTCTGGAGACCGAGGACAGCCCTGGGTGGGGCAGACCTGCAGTTTTCGGGGCAGTTTCTCTGACTCTGTCCTCAGGAAGATTCAACTCAACAAGAGGCGGGTGGTGGTGAGGACAGCTGGTTGAAGAGCTCCATTCCACAAGCGCAGCCCTTCTGGGCCTTGCCTGACCTGCCTGTATTCTCCTCTCCTCCCTCTGGTCAGTGGCAACTGCAGGCTCCAGCCCCAATCCTGCTGCTACTGATTCCCAGCCTCTCTCCCTGTAGCATGTCTGCAGAGCCTGCTGGCCCACCTTCACAGTGTGCCCAGGAGTTGACAGCTTCCACACCCCACAGCCCACAAATGCAAACTATTCTTCGAGGGTGTATCAACCAGTCAAATTAACTGACTCAGTGTAGTGGAAGCCAGTCTCCATGGTGGCTCCTGACTTCCTCTTCTGTTGTCTAACCCTCAGCACTCCAGCCACACCTGCAGGGCACTGCTCCTACTTCAGGCTTCCTGCGGGCTGGCCTTCCTTCCCCCTGGACCAGTCCCTACTGCCTCTAGGGTATGTCTCTTGTTTTCACCCTCCTCTCTGGCACGGCATGTTCTTTTTCATGGAGCTATTATGTGAGGCAAGCAGCCAGCACTGGTGCCCTCAATGTTTCTGCTTGCCTCGGGGCGTCTCCTCCATCAGCTGGAAGTTTGTCACCCATCATGGGACAGCTCTTGACCAGTGAGAACTGGTCTAGTTTCAGTCTGCTCTGGAGAACCCTTCCAGAGGTGGCCCTCCTCTA